ATGTGGGTGGTTGTCCCAGTTAGGGTCCATTTCTGGGGTGCCCTAAATATTAGGTGCCGTATCAAATTAAGGACCCAAAAAAGGGACCCTAATCTTGACAACCACCCATATAGTATAGCAGCCAGCCGGAGCGGAACCTGCAGGGGTTGCTGTGTGGCGTCCTTCTTTCGTTTCCTTTTGACGATTTGACGACGGGTATCTGACAAGGAGGTGACTCCCCAACTCTTTCAATCAGGGACCCCAAAAGCACAAAAGCATAAGCATTTTAGATGGATATCCCTACCTTATTGGCCTTGATTATAAGGGGCTATATATGGGATATCCCTATCCTAATTTTTGCTTATGTGCTTTTTGGGGGCCCTATTCAACACTATACAAACCTACACAAAATGGGAGTTTCCGAAATTAAGGGATCCTAATATAGCCCTAACTAATAGGTAGGATCCTTATTATAGGGACCCCAAAAGAAGGTACCCCCCCTAATGTTCGGAAACTCCCAAATGAGACCAGTCGGAGGGTCCCTAAACTGGGTTGTGCTTTGGGGATAAAGGGAACTCCAGAAAGTTGGAATATGGTTTCATGGTAGGATACCCTATAATTTACCATAAAGGGCTTAGGATAATGATATTCCAACTTTCTGGCTTCTACTGTAATTGTTAATGTCCCTCATTTCCTTACAAAGGGAACCTATGCATAAATAATTGGAAAAGGGTTTAAAGCGCAACCCAGTAAACTATGCTAAACTTGCTTCAAGCTCTGAACCAAGAGCCCCTAAACGGGTAATTGTCAAAATTATGGTGCTTTTTGGGGTATCCGAAATAATAGGTGCCGTATTATATTAGTGGCCCGAAAAGGAACCATCATTTTGACAACCACCCAAACTCTGAACCCCTAAACCCCAAGCCATCCTTGGGCTCTAAACCCTGAAACCCGAAAGCCCTAAACCCCAAGCCATCCTCAGGTCCTAAAGCCTGTACCCTTTTAAAGGCCGTTGTCTATTACAAAAAAGCCCCATAGTATAGAGGCACGAATAATTAGAATAGGGTTTTGATCATAGTAAGGAACCCCCAAACTGGTATCGGTTTTTCTTAAGGCCCCTATACTATGCCCCAGCAGACTCTGGGTAGGCAGAAGGCCGCCGAGAAGTCCAAAGTGGCAGGTGCGTTGAGGGGTTAGCAATCCTTCAAGGGTTGAGGGTCTAGGGTTCGGGGTTCAATTAGTGCTACCTAAACCGGCAACGATAGGTCAAAGAATGGCCCAACGTCCATACAAGGCTATTGTTCTACCAACTTAGGTAGGGCTCAGGGTTGGGGGATTAAGTCCCCTAACCCCTAAACCCTTTTTACTTCAGGGGTCCTTTAAAGGAGCTCAGAGTTCCTCTCAGGGCTTCCTTCAGGGGCGTTGAGGGGTATGTGTTTATAGGGTCTGAGGGTTTATTGCTCTTGCTTCAGAGCTTGAGGAAGTCGTACGGTTGATGATATAAATCCTACATTACCCATAATAAAGAGTATACCATAATTCCCATAGTTTAGGGTCCTTAAGGTAATGCAGGATTTTATCATCAACCGTAGTGTGTGGGCTTTAGCGCAACAAGGCTGGTAGGTAATGGGAGTTTGGGACACTAGGGCTCCATACGGTTGATGATAAAAATCCTGGGGATTCTTTAAAGGGATCTAGAAGGGTACCTTTAAGGGGTTCCTTTAAGGGATCTATAGGGTTTTAGGGTTTAGGGTTTAGGGTGATGATACAAATCCTGCATTACCTTAAGGACCCTAGGCTATGGGATTTATGGTATAGTCCTATTATTATGGGTAATGCAGGATTTAGATCATCAACAGTAGTTGAGCGATTCCCATTTCGCAGGGACTCTTGAGCTACGACTATAAAGCCTAAACTTTATGTAACCCTAAACACCTAAACCGTGAGAGTTTTAGGGTTTAGGGCCTAAGCCCTGAAACTCGAACGGTTTAGGGTTTAGGGTTATATAACCTTACCGTAGGGCTCCATAGTGGTTCCTTTTTGGGATTACCTGATAGGATTCTATATATGAACCCCAAAAAGGAACTACTATGGAGCCTCTGGGCATAAACTTGAACCATACGCCCTAAACCCCAAACAAGGTCGGGGGAGAGATGCGTTCGCTGTCAGGAAAAGCTGCTGCGAAGGCTCCTGAGGAGACTGTGGGGACAAGCCCTAAAAGGGGGTTCCTGTTAGGGTCAAGGTATATGCCTGGATCCCCAAAGTTGTGTAGAATAGTGGTCTTCTATGGGTGTTGGGCCATAATTTTACCTACTTTGGGGGGGGTTAGGTAGTGCTTTAGTCTAGGAGGCTTCGGGAATTCAGAATCTTAAGCTCTGACGATGTCGATGAATCATTGAGTACGACGGGCTACATAATCCTTGCGTGGCTGGTGAGGTCAGCAGCGCAGAGTTGGTCAGGAGGTACTGTGTCGGACACACTGCAGCGCATCAAACCTTACACCCACTTCAACTCATAGAAAGCGTTGTGGAAGCCCTTGTAGCCTTGAAAAGAACCCCGAAACTAGGAGCCCCTGAAAGAGGTATTGGGGGGGGGGGCTGTTTCCGCCCTGCAAACCCTGAGCCCTAAGCCCAGAAGGCTAAGAGGTTGAGCTCTCCGTAGTTTGGTCTCGATTTCGGGCTTCGCTCCCGGCTAGACCATCGTCCCATGAAGCTCTGAGTCCAAGAGCCCCGAAGCCCTAATATATGCCTATATAGTGTCCATTGTAGTTCCTCTTTTGGTTTAACCAACTATATATTCAGGATCCTGTAAAGTAGCGCCAAAAACGAACTACAATGGAGACTATAGGTGGGCTTGAGAAGTAAGTTAGCACATTCCTCACAACCCGACTCTACTTAATGAGGCTATTTATGTTGAACGCTTGCTTCCTGAGCACAGTGCGCAGGAGGACGAGGAGGACAGCGACGAAGAGGCCGGGATTCCGAAGCCGGCTTAAAGCAGAAATAGTCAGATTGTGTTTTCTGGCTACTCCTTGGAGGACCTGCGGATAATCTAATTAGGTGCCTGAAGAAGTGCAAAACAATCTCTTGTAACGTTAGGGTTCCGCACTCAAGTTTTGGTTATACTGCCAGAAGAAATCGTCTAGAGATTCAGGCCCCTTAACTCGACAGCGTCACAGTCAGCATCCGAAATCCTTTGATCCGCTGCTACCAGGACCTCGAATCGGAGGACTCCAATCTTCCTGCGCCGAAGAAGGCGCACTAGGAATCCCTAAGCCGGTGGTACGGTTGATGATATATGTCCTGCATTACCTTAAGGACCCTATATTATGGGATTTATGGTAAAGTCCTTATTAAGGGTAATGCAGGATTTTATATCATCAACCGTAGTGTTTCATTTTTGTTTTGCTTATCAGGCTTGGCGGGTTGAGGCTGAGGGTATGTTGGAATGGAGGCTCATGCAGAGTTTCAGGGTCAGCTGGGGGTGTCGTAATTACAGAACGAACGGGGGCAATGCGTTAGATCCTTACAGTACGAATCTCCAACGCTGCTAAGGTCTGCGAGTATGCTGTCTATCTACATCCAGTTCATGTCGGGTATTCAGTTTGGTGTGCAGTCAGCGTGTGCGTATGTGTGTCTTCTGCAGCCTGCCTGCCTTCCTACCTACCTGGCCCGCGCCACCCACCCACATACAGACAGACAGACAGACATAAAGTTACATACATACACAAATGACATACATACATACGAACAAACATACGTATATACATAGGACGTGTGCGTGTACCACTGTTCAGGTGTCCATGCTATGTGTATATATACATATATGTGTATTCATACAGACTACAGTTCCTACATTCATATGCACAGCATGCCAAGTAAAGCCACAACCAGGTGCATTGAGCGGTTTGCATGCGAGACGGCCTCCACCGGACTTTAAGTTGGCATGGGTCCTACAAGTAGTCCTTTTGAGGAAGGCTACCGTCTAGATTTATCAGACGAAGGAGGGGCCCGTGCTTGATTTTTGTTCGCAAAACCTGCCCGTGACCCGGAATGCTTGTGTTTCATGCAGGAACCAAGCAGGTACAGAAACCAGCATCTGTTGAAACATACGCCAATCCAGCGATCTTGCCTTAGAAAGTGTACTGCATGTATGGGCGCTCTGTTGGGCTCCTACCTTTGATGATATAATTCCTGCATGACCCATATAATAAGGAATATACCATACTTCTCATATATTCCTTATTATGGGTCATGCAGGATTTATATCATCAACCGTAGAACTCCAACCTCTGCCAGGGTAAATCTGCCGACCCACAGAAAGAGGCCATGCGCCAAGAGGCCGCAGAGGGGTTTAGGGGTTTAGGGTTTAGGGTTCGCTTTCTTAGATCGTAGTTGAGGCGAGGAAATCGAGTCGATTTGAGGTTCTGCTTTAGGACTTCTGGCAGCGATGTCAGAGCACTGAGACCAATCGAGCCGAAAGGTCTAGGGATGAGGGTTTTACAACAGGTTCGGGAGTCCGAAGTGAAGGCTTTAGAGTCTGGAGGCCGCAGGCTTCAAGCTTCAATTCAACACCCGAAGCAGCAAGGCCCAGTAAGATCCTGGAGCACTAGAACCTTCACCAGTCAAGCCAAGATTCCCCAACTACCCTCCACCCGACCCTGCGCACCCTCTGTTGAGGACCAGTCCTCAATAAGGGTTCCAAGAAGCCTTGGGTTTCACTGGCATCTGTTCTTTTGAGGGGTTTGGGCAAGAGCACGATGCACCGAGTCTGTTGCAGTCGAGTGTAGCCTTCTGAGAGCACGCCCTTTGGGGTTCTGGCATTCGGGTTTGGGTGTCTTCCTGTGAAAAACAGCCAGCGGAGAAGGGGATGGGCTGCAGTGGTTAGGCTGGTTGGGTCCCGGGTTAACATTCCTCGTCCTTTTCGCAACTTATGAAAGGTCGGAGCATCCAAAAAAAGGGATTTAGAAACCCAGGGCTGAGAATCGATTGAACTCATGACATCTTCGTCGCCCTTGACAGATGATCCTGAAGCTGAAGAAGGACATCGTCGGAAGCCTGGATGTCCTCGCCAGATCTCGCTGTAAGTTTCAGAGGCCCCGAGCCCTCATGTTTGAGCAAGTCTCATGTGCCCGCTTAGAAAGGAACGACCAAACACCTAAATCCTGAATCTTGGGTACTGCCCCCACTCTGTCACAGCTGGCTAACAGCATGATCATGATCCCTAATATAAGCTGTTACAGGGTGGGACCGGTACCCAAGCAAAATCCATGGTTCGGCGATGTTGGAGTCTCCGGGCCCCTTAATGTAATGCATCCGCCAACAACTAGAAGTTTGAGATTACGTGATTTCGGGTTTTTGGCCAGGGTTCATGCCAGGACCCTCCTTGTACCCTCAATAGGGGTATATGGTCCCAAATAAGGGGCATTTAGGGTATAATAGTGGGTAGATGGAGGGTTCATGGCTTAGGGTTGTGCCTTTAGGGCTTCAAGTCTTGGGGCTTCCCAGTTTGGAGCTGAGAATCCCCAAAACCCTCAGCCCGGTAGAACCAAGAAGCCGCTAAGAAGCCTGGAAGAAGCCCAAGACTCCAAGATCCCTTAATTGAGGAATATACCTCAAATCATATTAGGGATTCTACTAGAATTTAATGAATACTCCTTAATTAAGGGATATTGGAGTCTCTGGGAAACCCTGCACCGACTCCTAAACCGTTTTGCCCTAAGCCCTAAACCCTGTCACTAGACCAGCAGCCCAAGAGCCATGGTAAGACGAAGATGGTGATTAGCAAGCAACCGCCATGGTCATGATTCACTCCCACTCGAGCAAAACAGCCATAATGAAGGGTTTAAAATGAGCCCCCTAAACCCTAAACCCCTAAACCCTAAACCCGGAACCCTAAGGCGCTTAGGCCATATCCCCCCGAACCCTCAAGGCTCTATTATGACCCCCTAAACCCTACAACAATTGAATCTCATGGGCGGTTGTTCGGAGGCCTCAAAAGGTGGGATGAAGGTAGGTAGGATTAAGGATCCCTTATATAAGGACGCTTATTTGGGAATATCCCACCTACCTTCATCCCACCTTTTGAGGCCTCCAAAGTTGTCTAAATTGGGATCCCTTTGAGGTCCTGTTTGTAAGGGTGCCGTAGTAGTTTGGGGACCTAAGGAGGGACCGTAATTTAGAGAGCTGCCCATGCACCCGTATCGTATGCACCTATAGCTTGTGGCTTTTAAGGTACCTACATATGCACCCCTTGAAGGCTTAAGCGTATACTATATCATATAGCTATTCATGTATACATATATATATACATATAATATACATATGTATATTATGTTGCTACATGGAGCCTTAACTTTAAAGAATTGCCCACATGAACTTGTTTCAGCCCTCGGGCTGCGACTGAGGTAGGCTTGGCCAACGGGCTTCCCGCGCCAGAGCCCAGAAAGAAGACAGGCGCCTGCAACCCTAAACACTAAACCCTTCCCTGTTGAGCCAAAGGATGGACAAAAGCGTTCAGCAAAAAACGAAGCCCTTACCTGGACACCAAAAGTGTGTCGAATAACAGCCTTTTACGGGTGTTGGGCCATTATTTTGCGTACTTTCGGGGGGTTTAGGGTTAACCTTTAAACCCTAAACTTTAAGTTTTTGAACACTAAACCCTGAAGCCTTTAAACCCTTAAGCCCTGAAACCCCAAACCCTAAACCGTGGCTTCTAGCTTCTTGGAGGTCCGGATGTAGGGTTCAAAAGGGTTGGGGTCTTCACCTGTTGTCTCCGTTGCAGTCCTTCTTCTTGGGGTTCTCTCTGATAGGAGTATAGGGCCTAGTATAGGGTCTTAAGTATGCAGTTGGCTAAACCAAAAACGGAGCTGCAGATGGGGTTATTGGAAGTGTAGCGTTTCGAGATAAGGGCGTTCCGCACGCAGCTTTCACCTAACAAACCCTAAACTGAAACCAATAAACCCTAAACCCTAAACCCCGACCTAAGCACCCGAGGTCTAGTCTTGAAGATTTTGGAGATCGTGTTCCTGGTTTTCGTGTCGGGTAACAAATACATATCTCTATATATATCTATATATACACATGGTTTAGGAATTATGGATCACCCTCATTGGTAATATGTAAGTAGTGCTAGTCCTGAAGGTTCCTGATTATAACTCGTAGAATTTTTTGTCCGCGGACCCCATATCAGGTACCCGAATTGGGGCTATGAGTATACTCGTACTGATAATCGTTACCTTATGCTTCTATCCCCACTTACTGAGTCCACTGATGCTGTGGAATGCCCTGTGCTCTCCAACTCCAGGAGGCCAGAGTCTAACCCTCCGCCCCCCACCCCCAAACCCTAGGTTTAGGGTTGATAGGGTTCATAGAGTTCATAGGGCTTATAGGGCTTATAGGGTTTATAGGGTTTTTAGGCATGAGGGTGACACCCCATAAGCCCTCAAAGAGCACACGCAACCTCTCAACTCTCAAGCCCCTCGACCCCAAAAGCATCCGAAACCCTCGAACCCGGTGAGCTTCCGATTACCCGTCAGTTCAACCCTTGGGCTTAAGGTTAGTCAGGGGCTTAGGGTTGATTTGTAGGGCGTAGGGTTTAGGGATTAGGGTTTAAGGGGTTTAGGGCTTATACGGGTGTACGGTTAGGGTTTAGGGTTGAGCCCAAGCCCCAAATTGGGAACTAAGTGGCAATATGGGGGCCTAAATTATTACCTATACTAGTTTAGGGGTTCGTTATTGTAAGCATAGTATTGTGGGCCCCAAAACCCTCTTCTAGTTATTAAGGCCCCTCCAACCCTTCAAAGGAACCCGTAAAGGAGCCCTATTCTAAATATTAAGGCCCCTATACGATGCTCCCAGAACACTACCTATAGTCTCCATTGTAGTAACCAGTTTTATGGTTAGGACCCTATAATAGAGATTTTGGTTAACCAAAAAAAGGAACTACAATGGAGACTATAGGTAAACCCTAAACCCTAAGCCTTCGCTTGCAGGCTCGGCTCTCGAGGCTGCGTTGCCATGCTTGCGCTGGGTTTCAGTGAGGGACGGTCGCAGTTGACACAAGTCCTTCAAACCGCAACAAGGATGCCCAGTACTACCCTTATTCCTTTTTTGTAGTCCTAGGTTCCTTATAAAGTTACCCAATACCAAAAAGAGAGGCCTTTTTATTCTTAGGTCACTGGGTATCCTAGGCAAACCCTCACCCTATAGTATCCTTTGGAAGTTTTTTTCTAAAACCCAAGAGAAGGTTAAAACTATTCTGTTTGTGATGATTCGAAGGCGTGTGTAGCTCCTACACATCTCAAAACCCACCCTCCGGAGCTTTCTGAAACTTGCATTTGCTGCACCGGTGCCAGCATCAATCACCTTTCTCAAGGATTGCTGAAGCCCCTAAACCCCGCGTAAACCAAAATAAGAAACCCTCAACCCATTGTGGATGTTATTGCTCTCTGCCCTCAGGACCATAATGATGAGTGAGGTGTGATGTTTATTTGTCTTGCCGCTGCTGCTGCTTCTGTTCCTCCTCCTCCTCCTCCTCCTCCTCCTCCTCCTCCTCCTCCTCCTCCGGCTCTTCCTCCACGCTGCTCCTCTGTATCCTCCTCGAGCTACGACGGCGGCCACCACCAAGACGACAACCATGACAATTACTACTGTTCCCTCAGTAGCCTGTGTACATAGAATCACGACTAGAACCGTGCCAACCAGAAGAGTAAACGATCATCGCCATCATCATCATCATCATCATCATCATCATCGCAACCGTGGGAGACCATGCGGCGTGGCTTCAGAACCCGCGCTGAGACTCGAGCCTGGGCCTTTTCGCAACCTTTTGTGCCCAACGGCATGTAGAAGAGTGGATACCTATCACATTTGTCCTTCGGGTTCCGCAATAGATTCAATAGGTTATGTCTTTATACTTTTCTGAATATTGAAAGGGTCCATGGATGTTTATGGTCAAGGATTCGGGGTGCAGAATTGAGTTTTGCGGTTTCTGCATGTTATGCCTAGGGCTCGAGGATGTTTAGGATGTAGGATGTAAGGCTAGTCAGGTTGGCAGTAGGACATGGGTCACCACTGGGTTCTAAGGTCCTTCAGGCATGCTCTTACTATAGTAGGCAAGTTAGCCCGAATTTACAGAATTTTAGTTAGGTATTGAAGACTTCATATATACAGCGGCAAGCCCTTCCTCAGTCCTTAACCAGAATGTTTGATAATTTCGGAATGCTAACCACAACTCCTGCACCACAGGTCACACAAGATCCCTAAACTCCCAAACCTCAGACTTCGATCCTCAACCTTGTAAACTCGCAGTGCTGGCTGCACCCTCCGCCCCGTCTCCTTTCAGCGGTTCATTGGCCTGTGTCGACGCACGTGCGACCCAAAGGGGATTTTACAGGACCGGCATGAATGCTGAAACGAGGCGACGATTCCGGGATCAAGGGATGTGCTAAGGGCTGTCGCGCACGGAGCCGGTGTCCATCATGCAAAGAGTTTTGACCTGCTGGGGCAAAAAGATGCTTACACATTAACTTGAGGCCCGTCGACCCTAAACTTCTCCCACTTCTCCCCCAAGCCGCAACAGGCACGCGATACAAAATCTTTTGTTTTGTTACCGGGGTTTCCGCTCCGGTCGAGTTCAGGTCGAAGTCAGAGGCAAGGAAGCGCGGAGGAAACAAGCCGAGGCCTGCCAGACTGTATTGTGGCCTGTTTTTTGGGCGAAGCTTGGACCTTAGGGCTTGAGGGGGAGGTTACGGGGCATCTCCGGCAACCGTATCATAATTTTGCATCACAAGGGTTTCGGGCGTCTCACGCAAAGCGATCTTGTTTGGCAACCTGAAGGTGCAGTTGAGCGTGGGGGTGGCAACAGGTAAGGTTATGTGATCGGGTTAGGGGGAGCAAAGCGTAAGGACCTCGAGCTACACAGTCGAAATGCCAGTGCATATTTCTTAGCCCTGAGATATCGCATGTACGGACCCACACAACACGGCTTTTTCAGGTTCACATTTGAGATTCATAACCTTTGACATGCGGAGCCTTAAGCATCTAATTATAGCTGTATAGAGCATTGTAAAACCCCCGGCAACAGTTTCGCTCATGTTTCCAGCGGAAATTCCAGAGCTGGGGCTTCAATTTTGTACGGCTTGGAGATTGTGGCAGAGGAAGGCGAGCACAAAGTTTTCAGAATCCATCCTTGCATCCTCTGCAAGCCCTTACACCCCCAGCTAAACTGGTCTAAGCCTCAGCCGTTTTACGCTGAAACGGTTGCCCCCGTTTCCTTTACCCTAAAGCCTAACGCCCTGAAGGAGCTCGTTGACGGCCTCAAAGGTTTCCAGGTCTTGGCCTCGGGCTGCCGGCTCGGGATTCCCATAGACTTGCAAGATTGCCTAATTACCCAGAGGCTCCATAGTAGTTCCTTTTTGGGATTACCTTATAGGATTCTATATATGAACCCCAAAAAGGAACTACTTTGGAGCCTTAGGGTAAGGCATAATCAGTCAATTATGCTAATTACCTCCTGGGGATTGGGATTTACGAATATCTGAGGTACATTTTTTCGGAGGCTTAAAGTGTAGGGTTCCGTGCATCGAGGTGGATGCGGTGTTGCATGTTGGTTTGTAAATGCTGTTTCGAAATGTTCATTTCAACATTCCGGGCCCTGACGCCCTGAAGCCTCCTCAAACCCGCGATGCAAAAGTTTGTGTTAACGTCCTATATCTTCAAGCTCTGGTACCACCACGGCAATCGGACCAACTGAGTAGGTAGCTTTCAACCTGGTTCGGTATCTACAGAACTACACTACAACATCGAGATTCGAGGGCCAACATTGCTTTGGGCCAGGGAACTCGACTGCGCAAGTGCCGAAAGAGTTGTAGCTGTGGGCTAAACGACGCGAGTATTTGTGGGTTTAGAGTGTTCAACGATTCTACGAAGTTTTAAAGTCGAGAAACAACTGGTGGGTGGGCTTAGGGGTTGTACCCCGACGTCTTGATTCGACTTGAAGCTGATAATGTTTGGGGCTCAGCGGTTTGGGTGTTTGGAAGTTCCGTCCCTCGTATCTCGGGTTTCATCTAGCTTCAGCGCTGATCCCCCGAAAGCATAGCGAGCCTTCCGTGAGGCAAGAGACGTAAAGGACGTGTCCCGAGACGTCGTGTGTAAGACCCGAAACGGAAATCCTACACAACCGACTTATTACCACTTCAACCTTGACCAGACCCTAGGCCCTGAATACTAATTCTGAATATTGGAGCTCCTGGAATCTGAATTCCTGATTTCGAAATCCTGTGGTGGAGCAACCCTACAGTAAACCCCAGATTAAGGCCAAATAGTGCTGGGCTTCCCTATACAGTACTCTTAAGGATCGAGGCTGTTGAGTTTCCACCTTTTAGGCTTCTACCGTAAATCCTAAACACCCCAAACCTGCCCTGTCTGGCAGGATCGCCTAAAGACCCTCATGCCCGACGATCCGGCAGACGAGGACGAAGAGGAGGACAAGAAAGAGGCCTTACAAATTTATTAAGGAGTTCCGACTTTCTGGGCATCTTTAGGTTCAGGAGTTACGATACTTCGGGGTCCTTTAGGTTCAGGATTTCCGATAGTTTGGGTTTCGAGGTTTAGTGATTTAGTGATGTTGGTTTTCGCGGATTTTTGCTGTAGTAAATCGGGTGGGGTGAGTCACCGAACTCCCGGGCACGGGGTAAGCCTCTACGGAATGCCTGAATGCCGTGTAAGCCTTCATGGTAATCCCAACATAGACACTAAAGTCACTAAAGCCTGTGTATTTCTTCTTGATTGTCGTTGGGCTAGCGAACAAGGTGGGAACTGCGAACACGACTTACACGTTGTAGAATCAACACGGGGTGGAATCCGGTAAAGTACAACTGCTATCAACAACTCCAATCCCAGAAGCCACCCAATCCCAAGCTCTGCGGCAGACGATGCCAAAAACTTTGGAATTTTTGCCCACGAACATCAACTCCCACGGCTCCAAAGTTGATCTTGCACTTGTATGTGTCAAGATGGCCACGAGTCACGAGATTCAATATCCCGCCCCACAATCTTGTCCCTGAACTCCAACATCGAACCAAATCTCCTCAAGACAAACCCAAGGTCCTGACCCTAAAACCCTGAAGCCCTAGATATTCCACGTGTACCTCAGGCCGAACCGGGGACACTGGCCTCCTACTGGGAGGAAGGTGACGAGGAAGCGGACAAGGACGTCTGGCGTTAGTTTCTGGTTTAGGCGGCTCAGAGGCTCCGTTTAGGGGGTTCCGGCGGGGCCCCTGGCGTTTATAGGGCTAGGGTTTAGGGTGCGTGTGAGAGTGTGGGATTTAGGTTGTGACCCATTCAGTAGAGTGGTCAGGGGTCGCATCGACCAGGCTTGCCTACATCACTTTGAGAGCTATTAAACCCCCAAACCGAGGACCCTGACGCCTAAACCCCACAACTGTTTGAATTCCAATCGCACCTGGTAGAGCTGTGTTTGTCAGGGTCATGAGCTAGAGTCATCTGCTTCAGGGCTTGGCTTTGTGTTCCTTATGGATCCAAAACCGTAGCAGTCGTAGTAGTCACAGCACTGCAGCACACCAACCACAGCAGTACAGACATGCGGGTCTGCGGTTCCAGGTGTCTTTCACCTGTAACCAGCCATTTACGAAACTTCTTGCCAGCAACAAGTGCACAGGGACCGAATATGCTCAAGCCGTTTTCCAGTCCTTGTCGTTTTCCGAAGCGAAAATGAGAAAAGCCTGCGCCCTAGAATTCCCAAACCCAATTCCGAACACTAAGCCCCAAACAAAGCTCCTCACACCATGTGGGAGTTTCGGAAAATAGGGGACCCCAATAGAACCTGAAAAGTAGGATCCTTATTATAAGGACCCCAAAACAAGGTACCCCTACTTTTCGGAAAATGTTCCCTAAACCCTAAACCCTAAACTGTTGCTCTTGAGAGGATTGGCTCAGCGGCTCTGGTCTCAAGTTCCACACATCGGGAGACAAGGCGACCAATGCAACCTAAGAGTTGATAAGTACTTGCGAATTGGGGACCATAGAGTTCCTTTAAAGGGGTCTATAAGGGCTACTATGAGGATTTTAACATACATATATATATATATATATATATATATATATATATGTATGTATGTATATGTGTATACATATATACATATATATATATATATGTGTATATATATATATACATATATATATATATATATATATATATATATATGGGCGCGCCCCTATTTGGGGTCCCCTACGTTTTTTGCTACATCATCTGACTGAGCTATAACCACCAGACTAGGTTATAACCAGCCGATTAGGTTATAACCAGCCGACTAGGTTATAACCATTCGAATAATTTATAATCAGGTATACATTACAGCCGACTAGGTTATAATCAGGTGTACGTCATCGACTACAGTATTATATCCGGTTTGAAGACCTTGTCTTCAGAATGCTGAAACCCGCACAACGCTAAGAATTCTATGACACCTTCGTCGACAACCTGTTACAATGTGCTAAAATCCTTGCTTTGAAGCCGTCGATGTAGCTTCGTAGTTCATGTTTGTGTGACTGTATCTAAACCGCTGTAATTCAGTTTTTTTCCAACAAGCGCGCTGTAGTCATTAGTCTGGTTCAGTCATTCCTTATCGCGAACTAGATTTTGCAACGAAACGTTTTCCATCTTTGTACTGTAATGCCGCAATCCCACCAAAGTGTCTGTTGTTGGACGCATTGCTATGACGTTTTGGCAAACTGATAGCTTTCAATGACTTATCCCTGTGCCCCCATGTGATTGCTTTTAAACACTGGTATATCCGGTAGCTATATTTGAGTGGTGCATTCCTTAATTCTGTATGACGGCTGCCCCAAGCCAAAATTGAAAACTTGCATACTACAAGCTTAGCAAACGTTGTATAGTGTTTTTCCTAGGGGACGACATGAAGCGTCGCTTCTTAGGCTTGGCACTGTTTCTATATGCCGAGTGATGTAGCCTGTGCTTCTTGTATCAGCATACCTTAACCATCACGTAAAGCCGACTGAAAACCATAAGGCTACATCTAGCTTGTCCGAATTTCTGTTTGTGTTCTTGTGAATATTTACTGAAAGTCGACTAGAAGCCATTGTTCCCAGTCCAGAACGTGATCCTCGTGTTAGAAAAAGTGGTACACACACACACACACACACCGAATCACTCCTCGAAAGAAGTTCATCCATGTAGTTGGAAATAGCATTGCGAGGAATTTTCTACGTACCGAGCGAGGAAACCTAACAGCTTAAGTCGCGAATTTTGTTTCGCTCACCACACATATTCTTATCAGTTTTGTCTCGTCGAAATCCGGCTTCCTTGGAACGATGTTTGAGCATAACGTTGCAACCAGTTCACCTATGTACGAAGTGATGAAACCTGACCATGCTGTAACAATTGAAATGCTCTCTCTCCCTACAATGACGTCGTATCAGCCGTATCTCAACTTTCTATGTACCGTGATATTCCAATGTTGACAACACTTACTGACCTACTGTAATCCCGATAGAGCCCCTTCATATTCCGCATTTTGATTCCTGCGTGAGTGACATGTTAGCGGCTATTCTCTCAATGTGTACATAGGTGTCATAAACCCGATGTACTGGAACGGACAGACCATTGTGTAAAGTCGCCAAAAAGCCTTTCCGGTAAAGTTGGGGAATGCGCATATGGTCCCCGGAATTATGTTTGTTACAAAGCACTGCATCATGCCTCAACAACCGCATACACGCCAATTACCTCGGACCCTCTATTCTTCTAGTCCTTGTTTAATTTCATTGCGGTTACATTCACCCTGAAACACCGACACTTTCGAACGTTTGGATTTAGGTGTTGATGAAGTACTGTAGCGGTGGCACAGGCCTGGTTATAACCTCTGTCCCCGGTTATAACCAGGACACCTGCTTAGTAGGCAGCCCTAGACCCATCACTACGTAAACCATTAAACCATTAACAAACCGTTAAATTAGTACACCGTTAAACAAATCCTTTGCCCCAATGGACCCAAACCAATAAACCATTAAACCATTAAACCAATCCTTTTGCCCCATACCACTAAACCATTAAACCATTAAACCAATCCCCTTACCCCATACCACTAAACCACTAAACCATTAAACCATTAAACCAATCCGTTTGCTCCATACCACTAGACCACTAAACCTAAACCATTAAACCATTAAACCATTAAACCAATGCTTTCGGCCCATACAGGGATGTGTCTCTCTCTATAGGGGAAAATGATTGGTTTAATGGTTTAATGGTTTATTGGTTTGGGTCCATTCGGGGAAATGATTGGTTTAATGGTTTAATGGTTTATTGGTTTGGGTCCATTGGGGGAAATGATTGGTTTAATGGTTTAATGGTTTAGTGGTATGGAGCAAAAGGAATGGTTTAATGGTTTAGTGGTTTGGGTGTGCAAAAACCCAGGGGACCCCATATAGGGGGGTACCCATATATATATATATATATATATATATATATACATACATTCACATATATTGGAGCCTAAATAATTACCAGTATTATTTTTGGGGTGGTCCCTTTTTATTCATAGTCTAATGGGCCTCAAAACCCTATTCTTACTATTGAGGCCCCTATATTACGGGGTTCAGGGTTCAGGGCTGCAGGTTTTCAGTTTTTGGGGTTTTAGGTGTATATAGGGTTTGGGGTTTTAGAGGAATCTAAGCGTTTAGGGCTTACGGTGCCAGTGTTTAGGATTTAGGGGTTTCGGGCTTAGGATTCGAGATTTTGTTGGGGCTCAGGGTTTATAGGGTTTGAGGTTTTGGAAAGTTGGGTTTGGGGATTCGGCTTTAGGATACTATTCTTGAAGGCTCCTTGTCAAAATTACCTCTACTGTAGTCTACCTGTCCTACCTATCATGCGTTTGGGTTGAAAGATTTTTGGCTGAGGGTTTAGGATTTGGGTTTCAGGGTTTAAGATTTACTGCTTAGGGCTTCCCTTCCAAGTTTTGGGGGTTTGCGGGTCTGGGGCTTTCGAGGTGTTAAGGTCTCAGGAATTTTGAGAGTTGTGGGGCTTCAAGGGACTTGAGGGGTATGTTGAATTTTAGGTCTGTGCTTTGACGCCGTGGGCTTTGAGGGTTTCAGGACTTGAGTTTGTAAAGGTATAAAATTGCTGGTGTTCGCAAGTATCGCAAGTCCTTGTCTAAATCGACAAGTTTACTTGTCGTGCACATGAACTGGATGGCTCAAAAGGGGGCTTTGGCAATGGTCTTCACGGGTTTCTCCTCCGTCATGAGGACAGGACATAAAGTTCGAGATGCCCTGAGAATACAATCTCATGAACCCTAACCCGGATGCATAGCAGAGTAGGCGCGCTTTGACACTTTGGGGGTACGATCATCCCTATACAATCCCGAAGGCTTTCACCTTTAATTCGCCTGAGATACATAATGGACATGTAAGTGCAAAGCTAAAGCACTCATTTCAACCCAACCCTCTACCCAGGATACTGGACAAGTAAGGCTATACGCAGAATGACAGTAACGGACCCTATACCGTAAACCCGAAACCTCAACCCTCAACATACTATTTGGGTAGGGTTCGCATGCCTCGCAGGCCTTCGAAATTGCAGCGCGCAAGGCGCGGCCCCTTACCGTTGCAGACTCTTCAAAAGCTGTAATAAGTCTTAAGGTTTAGGGTCTAGGGTTTAGGGTTTAGGGCTAAACTCAGCAGTAGGTAGATAGCCTTCAAATTAGCCTGTTAGGGCAGTATACTTCCTCTATAATCCAGAGCCCTCAACTCCTAAACCCTTAATTCAGACATCACAAAGCCAGGGACTTGGGGCCCCAGACGCTAAGCCCTCTCCCTTCCAATCTAGACCGCGAAGTTTTCTGAACCCTAGAAACTCAGCCCAGGCCTCAGATCCTGAAGTTGTTGAAGCCTTGGAGTGGTCCGAAGTGTAACCCTTAACAGGTTTCATAAAATCAACGTAGGGGCCTTAATAATTTGAATAGGGCTGGGGGGTGATATTATGCTAGTATTTTCATAAGGAACCCCCAAAACCCCATTGAAATCATCAAGGCCCCTACCTACATTACATATCTGGCTAAGCCCTACAACAGCATCAGAACCAACAGGGACTCTCGAAGGAGCCCTCAACGAAGCCCCAAAAGGAACCCTTACAAAGACCCGTGAAACAGCAACCCTGTAAACGCATACGAAACCCTGACCCACCCTAAAGTCTTCGAAGCCCATAGGCCCCAAAGTAGCTCCTTGTTGGGGTTACCTCATAGAAGTCTACATATGACCCCCCAAAAGGAACTACTTTGGGGCCTTTAGAAACAGCACAGCTTTTTCGTAAGGCCCGTGACTCTCTGGAAATCTTCGATCCGATCGCGGCCACCGGCAACTCCGAGGAGTCGCGGTGCTCGGGTTTTCGGATTAAGGTTAGGGGTTTAGGGGTTAGGATTTAAGGGTTAGGGTTTAGGGGTTAGGGTTTAGGGTTTAAGGTTTCGGTTTAGGGTTTAGGGTCTAGGCTTTAGGGGCAGGGCCAGGGTTTCGGGTTTAAGGTTTAGGGTTCAGGGTTTAGGGGTAGGGCTAGGGTTTAAGGGTCAGGGTTTAAAGGGTTTCGCGTCGTAGTGTTCAGGTTTTGGGTTAGGGGTCATGGATTCTATATGACCAGGGTCTCTTGAAAGATTATGTTTAAGAGTTCTATTATAAGGTCCCCAAAAGAATTCAAATAGAGCTCCCTCAGAAGAGGTAGGGGGTTCATAGTACCATGGATTCGGCGAGAGTCTGCAGAGCCCCTTGGAAGTCTGTTCCAAAACTTTACTTCCTAAGGACTCAACGCGCATGTAGAACAACGCACTTACGAAATCAACAAGAAACCACTAAACCCTTCAAATCCATAGAACTCCTTTGCACCCTGCGCCCCAATCGAAATCATTCAAACCCGATAAGCCTTACAAACCCTTTGAACCTATATGAGCATCCGCCAAAACTTCCGTAGTTGTAGTTAAGAGTCGGGTGACCGTGGAATGTCGGAGTTTGGCAATTTGCTTGGAAAACGATAGGACCGACCCAAAAGCGATACGATTAAGGAGGATCATCTGTTGGGATGTTTCCGTGCAGCCGCGGCATTTGTGCCTAAATTTTCCGTGTGATATGTGGCTAGGCAATCGGTACCCTAATCGATACCCAATCGATACTCTAATCGATACCTACTAGATCGTTTTATGAGCCACTCCCCCATGCAGTGAAGGGCAGCAGAGGGCAGTAAAGGTCAGTAAAGTGCAATAAAGGGCAGTAAAGGGCAGGTAAAGGGCAGCAAAAGGCAGTAAAGAGCGGTAAAGAGCAGGAAAAGGCAGGTAAAGGGCGGCCAAAGGCAGTAAAGAGCAGTGAAGGGCAGCAAAGGGCAGGGCAAGCTACGAGTAGGATCAGTGAGTCTGATGGTCTTCTTACTTTCACAAGAGCAAAGCGATACCGCACAGAAACGTGTGACGGAATCCTTGTAAAGCGATAGGACCCCCCAAATCATCCATGGTCTAGCCATGAACAAGAAGTTTTGACAAACGCTCATATGATCAACCCTATAATGCTTGAAAGCTCTATCACCCTTAGCACGAATAGGAGCCCTTCAGAACTAATCCTTTGACGCTGAACCTTACATCCTAGTCCCAATGCCTTAATTAAACTCTAAACCCAGAACCCTGAAATTTGACCCCTAAACCCATAAAAGCGAAACCCCTAAGCTGAACTCCTAAGCCCTTGAACCCTCAACGCCCAACTGAACCTTTAGAAACCACCCGAACTCCTCTGAGAGTGTTTTCGAAGACAGGCCCTGGCAGCTGCAAGAAAGCGGCGAAACGACAAGCTGGTGTCCGAATCCCAGGGGTTTGGGGTGTAGGGTGTAGGGTTTCTGGTTGCGGTTTTTGAGTTTAGGGCCTGGGGTTTCGGGTGTTAGGGTGTAGGGTTTCTGGTTTCGGTTTTTGAGTTTATAGGGCCTAGGGTTTAGGGTTCAGGATAGGGCTTAGCTGGTGTCCGAATCCCAAAGGGTTTGTAGGGTTTAGGTTTCAGGGCTTCCAGCGTTTAGGGCTCTAGGCCTCTAGGGCTCTAGGGCTCTAGGGCTTTGGGTTTAGGGGATAGGGATCTGAATGATGTTGGGGCTGTAGGACTTAGGTTTGCTTTTTCGGGAGGGCAGCTTTGACGGCGTTCGCATTGCCCTAGTTTACGTGGTTTGAGTGCTTTTGGGGTTTTAGGGCTTTTAGGTTCAGAGTTTAGGGCTTGAGGGCGGCTTCGTTAGGGTGTATCATTGCTTTCAGGGTTCAGGGCTTTAGGGTTTGGGGCAGGCTTTGTAGGGTTTTGATGGCATCAGCCAAAGAACGGAAGGTCTCTGGTGTCAGCTTCAGGCTCCTGGACTTGTACATCAATGGGGTGCAGAAGCTCTGGACATATCCTATGTGCATGGGATACGTGTTCAATCTAAACCCCCACCTCAAGTCCCCGACCCTGGCACAATCTCAGTGGAGAGAGAAAGGAGTCTTGAAACGAACGCCCGAACAGCCGCAGCATGAATGAACCTGACAGCTGAGCAAGAATCCTGACCTGCCAGGCCTTCTATGCGGCGGCAGAACCCTTTGGAGAAATGGTAGTTTGGCTCGGATCCTCTGGCAGAGTTTCAACATGCCCTCATTAGGCATAAACTCCTAAACCCCCTTGCCCTTGCTCTTCACCTACATCCCGAAGCCCGAAATGTTCCCTAAAGCAGAGCCGGGATCTTCAGTCAGCGATGATGCTATCTCCGGGCTCAAATGTTTCGACAGCGCTCAAGCTCGCTGCGGAAAAAGTGTCAGGGTTGTGAGGTAAGGCTGTTTTGGGGTATACTGTAGTAGATTTGTGGTAATGCAAGCAGCATTGCAGAAGTTTACTTCGATCAGGAGCGCCAACAGGGACCCCGTACGTTGGCTATCCAATTATTGAGTCCGCGGCTTGTTCTTGGTTTCTTTACCTCTCTCTCTCTCTCTCTCTCTCTCTCTCTCTCTCTCTTTCTCATAGAACTGGAAATGCCTGCTTAAACGAACACCACCTACTTCATGGATGCTTGAAAAGCAGACTCTCTCTCTTTCTCTCTCTGTCTCGATCTCAGCCCACTTCCCTTTTTCGCCGATCTCTTCCTCTCGCAGCCGCATGTGCGGCTCAAGAAGTTAGCTCACAGCTTCACCGACCCTGCGGGCCGCTTCTCCGGCTTTGGCATTCTTTGGGTTTTTGATGTATAAGTTAGAAGCTGCCCCCACCCTGTAATAGTGGTATAATGGGAATATAATAGGGCCCTAATACAATCCTATATAATCCTTATGGTCACTATTACAGGGTGGGGGCCCCTTCTAATGTATAAGGGTTTGATATGGTCGTGGTACAGTGTTTCCTGTGCGATCTGGATAGAGGCGCGTGCGGTTTGGTGATGTTTGTTGGCAAGGCTGGTTTCTCCAGTGGGCCACTGTCCCTTAAGCCCCGGACATCCGAATCTTCTGCTATCCATGTCCCAGTAACCTGCTTCTTGTTTAAGTATCTGGGCTCTTAGGATTCACTAGGTCATGGACACTGGTGTTCAGACTTATACTCTCACGGTTTGAGGCTTTGACTGTTCGATTGCGGGCTCAAGGATTCGGGCTAGAAGAGGTCAGGATCTAAGGCTTTGGGGCAGGGTTCAGGCCATACGGATGTTCGGATTCTGGGCTTAAGTTCAAGGTTTAGGGTAGGGATTCAGGTTTGAGTCTTGGGCGGGTCTTGGGGATTTTGTCTGGGTTTCAGGCGTGTTGGGTTGGATAATAATATGGGGGCTAAAAATACCAACACTTTTTCGGGGGGCTCCTTACTACAATTTTGTTCCACAATACTTTCCAAAACCCTGGTAAGGCCGCTGTATTAAGGCTTCCGCATCCTCCTCAGTCCCCCTTTCGAAGCTTCCGTGCCGGATCTCAGCCCTATACCCCTTAAAGCCCTAAAGGATTCGTGTAGGGGCTCCTTTAATTAATGGGATCTGTAAGAGTTCCTTTAGGGGTATAAGGGTGTAATTGAAGTTTTACGCACTCTTGAGGGTGCAGGGTGTAGGGTGTACTTATTTTCAGCAGTTCACCCCAGACCAACTAACGCGAAAGCCCCGGTCTCATCTCAGGTGTTGCTGTAGCTGCACTCGGGTTTTGTACCCTTGAGAGCAGCGCAGGCAGCCGGGAGGGAAACTTGACCAGGAGTCTTTAGGAAGGAACCATCACAAATCAAGGCAATGGCACGACAACGGCTACCCTTTTGTTGCTGTCTCGAATTATTAGCAGTACTAGTACCCTTGCTCATCTAGTGACGACCGCGATCATGATGATTGCGATCATGCTCACTTGCATCATGGCAATTACAGTTTTTCTTCTGGTTGGCATTCTCGGTTTGTTTCTACCTATTCCTATTATCTTGATACTGATTCTCAGGTTTTTCCGCAGCAGGGTCAGTATAAAATGCTTACGGCTTACAATCCTCGTCGGTTTACACAGCCAACTATGGTCTTTGCCGTCTTCAGAACTGGCTCAAGCTCTCCTGTTGATTTGCCAAAGTCTCGTGCTGTGTCTGTTCCGCCATGAGCCTCACACCGGTCCTGAGCGTCTTCCTGGTGCTGGCTGGTGTCCAGGCGACGCGTATCCTGGAGAGCCATGGTGGGGCCCTGCAAGATGTGGAGATGATCGGGGCTGGAGGCAACTATGTGAAGGAGCACCACGCTAGTGACGCTCGTGTAAGAGATGCCGTCGACGAGATCCGTAGCAACGCCGTGCATCTCATGAAAGAGATTGATGATGCTGCGAAGAGCGGTAGCAAGTGGGAGTTTTGCTACGAAGGAGGGATCTGCGTTGGCGATAAGCCTAAATGCTGCCTCCTAATCACCAGCCACACAAATAAATTCGTCCATCGCTGCGTTTATGAGTCCGTCTATTGTTAGTCTGACCATCCCTTGTCACCACTCTGATCGGTAGCCGCATTCTGTCGACAAAATGCGCTGCTGCGTGGTCTTGGAGCTTTGGGGACCTGGAGGGTGCCCATAGGCCCCAAAGTAGTTCCTTTTTGGGATTACCTCATAGAATTCTATATATGAACCCCAAAAAGGAACTACTTTGGGGCCTATGGGTAGAGGTGATCCGCATTTTTGGTAAAGGATGCTTGCTCATGACGACGGTTTGTGGCCCCAACACCATCCCCACTGAAACTCAAACCCGTTAAAGCAAGCCGAAATGAACCTTTCTGGAACCTTTCTCGCAGCGACCCAAAACCCCACGATCCTAAAACCCCCAAACCCCAAAAGCCCAAAACCCCAAACCCTAACCCGTATAGAACCCTTGAGGGCACCCTTATCTTTATCTTGGACCAAAAACCCGAAACCCCTATGCCTTAAAGAACTCCTGAAAGGAACCCATATGTATGTATGTAGGTACGAGCGTATGTAAGTATGCATGTATGTATGTTTGTATGCATCAGTGCGTATGTATGCATTTATGTACGTATAATTATGCATGTATGGATGTACATAATCTTGTATGTATGTAAGTTTACCTACCTACGTACGTACATACGTACATTCAAATACGTGTGTATAAACATATGTTGATGTATGTGTATATAGTACCATGATATAACCCTTTAGCGGAACCATCATATAATCAAGTTTGTACACGGATATATATATATATATATAAGCTATAAATATATATAGTCAGATATAGTTATATATATATATATGTAGTAATCTATAGAGTTTTATATACATATATATATATATATATATATATATATATATAGCGTATATAGATACACACACACACCTACATACATAACTCTTTTAAAGGAACCTCCCAGAACCCTAAACCCCTGCACACGATTGGGAAAAATCGAAGCGCGCTTTGAGAGGACCTGGGAGCGAAACTTCTTCAGCCAACACAGCGTTCTCCGCCCACCGCCCGCGGCTCTGAAGATCGGGGTTTAAGGTTTATCTGTGCTGTGTCTGAGACTTTAGGGTTCAGGGGGTTATTTAGGCATCAGGGCTTTGGCATTGGGGTTTGGGCGTTATTTGGGTATCAGGGTTTAGGGTTGTTGGTGTGGGGGTTGGGGTGCAGGGTTTGGGGGTTATTTAGGGTTTATAAGGGCTTAGGCGTGGGGGGTTAGGGTTCAGAGTCTTGGCATCAGGTTTTAGGGTTGTTGGTTTAGGGGTTGGGGTTTAGGGTTTGGGTCTAGGCTTTGTGAGGTGATTTTCGGGTTTTTAAGATTCCCTTGAAGGGGGAAACCAGGGCTCGACAGGGTTTTCAGGGGGTGCTTAGGATTTCGGAGGATTGTTATGATAAGGTCCGTATCAGGGCTGTGCAGTTAAAAAGGTCTGATAGCGCTTTTAAAGCACAGAGAGATGAAAGGCCAACCGCCCAACCGATAGACAGTAATGAACTTCGTTTTGATTCTGAATCCCTAACCCTACCCCATTAACCCCGCAAGCCTTAAACGTTGCCTGCAAGTCGTGCTGGTCACCGGGATGCATGGGTGAGCTTCGGATGTGAATTCGGATTTCCTTCAAGTATCTTATTCAAATCACAACCACAGTCGAGCAGTCGTCGTCGTGGCAGTAGTCGTAATTTGTCGTTGTCGTCGTAGAAGCAAAAGTGGAAGTAGAAACAGGAATATCAGCAGCAGTAGCAGTGTGTAGCAGTACCGGCGGCGACGGCAGGCTAGACCCCTGGCAGACATGATTCACTCTGTAGATCTCTCTTCCGTGATCGTTGCAGACGGAGGATGAAGGAGGTGTATGTGTCTCACCAGGGTTTGTACATCACTGAACAGGCATGGCGAGGTTCATTAATTACTAGCTAGTTTGTTTTCGAATGTCCAGTGTCAATGGTCAGGCTTGACGATGAGTTAGGTAATTCTCAACTCTTCGCCCCAAGCCCTTAAATTGAGGTGGTATAGTAGAGGCTATGGGTGTGTTGGCTTTCGTGCTGCTGGCCCAAGAAGCCCCAGCGTTCAATGCAACACTTGGGTTGAGGTTTTAGTTGTATGTACGTTCAAGTCTACCAGGACCCCCAAGTACCCTTTAATAGAGCCCTTATGGTCCTCAATAGTGGGTATTTAAGGTATGTTAGAGGGTAGTTGGGGGGTCTAGGTAGTCTAGCGAGCCCGGAACCTATGAAATCCCACAACCCCTCAAGAGCGTCAACCCCCAACTGAGACCGAGCGTTTGCAGCGAGGTGCCTCCATCCCCCTTACTACTGTGCGAAGCTCGGATGCTTTCGCTTGCAGAGATCACCCTAAGCCCTAGACCCAAACCTTGACGGCCCTAAGCCCTAAACCTAACCCCCCTAAACCCTAAATCCTATCACAGAACACACAACCCTCGACCTGGAGACCTCAAGACGACATCTGCAATTCGAAAGCCCAGGCTGTACGACCCTGAAGCCGGCCGGAAACAGCTCAAAACAGCTGGGAGCTGAAATCCTAAGTCCCAAACCCCTAAACTCTACGCCCAGCAATTGACCAGTGTCATCAATCCAACATCACAAGCGTGAGTTCTAGCTTGCTTGGTTTCAGACCTAGGGTTTCGGGTAAACTCTGATATCCCATAAGCTCGAAATGGGAGCTTCCGAGAAAATTAGGGGTACCTTATTTTGGGGTTCTGATAATAAGGATTCTACTATTTAGGGTACCATATTAGGGTCCCCTATTTTCGGAAACTCCCAAATCTTAAGTCCTCATGCTGACTCTTGGCTCCGGCTGCGGCGTGGCTTTTTCGGACGGCCACCATCGCTCACTGCTAGATAAACCTTGCACGACGCAAGTACCATGCCGGAAATAATACGGGAATTGCGGAAATTTCCGAATATTGGGTAATGGTGTTGTCATTGTACATCATCAGAAAGAGCTACATGGAGCTACGGGGTCTCCAACAGGATTTTCTGTGTTGCTTGCGCTGTGTATACTAGCTGTGGTTGATAGCAGGAGGGTGATGGAAAGCAGCCAAAACAACACCTGCAACTGCCATGCCGAAACATCAGCCGAATCATCAAGATGTTGGATCAGAAATTTATGGAGGCCGTGAAAAGTCGGAACAACAGGGTTCTGCTTGCATTGCTGCTACTTTATACCTCGAAGGCACGACGGTACAGGCCGAGGAGGTAGCATTATGTTGCAATCCGGGCGCTGTTCACGGGTGAGGCTGCATAGGAGTTGCAAGTAGCAATGGGTCTTGTGGGCAAAATACTCCAGGCATCGTAATGAGTAGAATATGGCCCACAATATAGTCTTTTAGAGCTCTATAGGGTTTCTTACAGGGTTGATTGGGTTCAGAGGATGCTGATAGGGCGTTTGGTGCTGAGGCACAAGAATGGAAATCACAACCGCCTTGATTTGGACTCTCCGAATTGCTGGGAGCCCGGTCGATAGAACGAAGCCCGAATCCAGGTTCTTATATAAGTAGGAATACGGGCATACTCACCCTAAATGCTTAACCCTAAACTGAAAACCAGAGTAGCATTTCCTCAACATAGAAGTTCAAGATTCTACCATGTAGCACCGAGAAATCAACCCTAAACCTGGTTCCAACTTCTGACCACCCATCGCTCCGAAGCCCCCTTGGCACTAGGATCTTGGGGTATAGGCCTTTGCGTTCGGGGCGTTCCAAGAACACAGGGTTTCGGGTTTAAGGCTTGGGGTTTAAGATCACAGGTTCAGTGTTTGGGTTTAAAGTCAAGGGTTAGAGATTGCCCCATGGCCCGAGGCAATTCTTGCATAGCGAATATCTACTTCCGCAGTTTAACTGCAATGGCGTATCCGTTTTTCACAAGCCATCTACTAGGCAGGCCTTTGGGATGTTTTATATGTTCTATCATTGGGCCGAAGAGGATCTTATTTCGGACCGTTGTTTAAAGGCTTTAAAGGGCCAACCTCGTCTACGATAAAAGCCTTAAAAGCTGAGCCTGAAACCCCCAAACCCCAGAGTTCAGCCCTGCACCGAAGCTCCCAAGCCCAAACGCCAAACAACCTAACCGTAATCTTGATCCCAATAACCTAGCTAATCCCCATGACAGAATCGTTAACCTAGACTGCCGAATCTCCGAACCCCGAGGTACTGCCGATCATCCTCTTTTGTATTTACTTTAGATTCCAGTCGTCAAAGGACGATCAGCTGCCAGGAACTTATCCTGTCCCTACAGTGCTCGAGCTTTGCGAAAGGTTTGATTGAAGGTGTTGGGGGTATTGTGATGTTCGATACCATGGTGGGTTTAACATGTGGAGTTCAGGTTGGGAAGATCGTAAGTACCACATTGCTGATTTATGGGATATCTTGATATACTTCTGTATATCATGTACGCATATTTGTACAAATATATATATATATATATGCACGTATTAAATCGTGTGCACACACATACCTACATACCTGCATACATACACACTTACATATACCTGAATATGTGTATATACGTACATATATATATATATATAATATATATATATATATATATATATATATATATATATATCTGTACATGCACATATATACAATTCATGTCAGAAGGGTCCAGAACCCTAAGCCCGAGAATCCATCATGCTCTTGCCGTAACCCCAAGAATCCTGTGGAGACTGGATCCCTTAGAGTCAAAGCCTTTCAGAGCCCGCGTTTTTGAAGTTGCAAAGATCCCCAGCCTAAAGCCACAGACCCGTCCTACAAGATTCTCGACATGGGTCATTAGGTTCCGTATTGCCGTATTGCTTAGCGGGGCATAATCACAGGGTTTTTGTATGATTGCACGTTCAGTTGCGTGCTTAGACAACGAGAAAGCCTTGCACCGCCCACTTCAAAGATCGCCCAAGCCTACCCATAGGCCCCAAAGTAGTTCCTTTTTGGGATTACCTAATAGAATTCTATATATGAACCCCAAAAAGGAACTACTTTGGGGCCTATGGGTAGCCCCCAAGCCCTCATTTTCGGAGTTGAGGCTCCTGGGCAGTTCAGGCAAGAACAAGTACCCCAGAAGACGCTCGACGGAATGGGCTTTAGGGTTTATAGGCCTTACCCTAAGGCTCCAAAGTAGTTCCTTTTTGGGGTTCATATATAGAATCCTATAAGGTAATCCCAAAAAGGAACCACTATGGAGCCCTAGGGTAAGCTCCAGCATTTGGGTTCTGTGCTTGTGCGGGCCCTGGGCCGTACTGTTTCAGTGTTGTACTGTATGCCACACGACATTTAGAGGAGGCACCCTTGCCGCATCCTCCGTGTCGTGTTGCCAGACCGGCGGGTTCGGATTTGAAGGTAGCCAATGTATCACCGACGAGCCCGAAAACACCTCAGCAATACATGTTCTTTTTTCCACAAAGCCCTGTCTAGATATGCTTGTATGATTCATATATGCTACACTGACAGCATCAGGGACCTAGCAAGTACGACAATGAGTACCTTGAACAAGGCTTGTTATGCATAAACAGTTATGTTCAATGTAGTTACTTAACTATAACCCTACATATTGAGACCCCTGATCCTGGAAGCAATCTTCAAGAGCTTCCAAACGCCTTTAGGCCCAGAATATCGGCTTTGGCAATTTAGGGCTCACTCGTTTCAGCTTTCCTTTTTTGGGTTCTATAAGTGTACTCTACTGGTTGCTTGAAGGTTCGGGGGGCCAAACACGGAATGTGCTCTGAAGGCGTAACTTCACAGTACACTATGTTTGGGTTGCAGACCTAAAGTATGGTGCAGAGTTATACTGAGTATTCTAGGTGCGGGCTATCTTGGGAAGTGTTGTTTTTTGAGGGGGATTCAACTTTTAGACTTTAGCGTTCATGGGCCTCCATCCCCTCAACCGTCAGAGGTTTCTGTCTTTGGGCATGACTCCAATATATCTCTTACTTCAGCGTCCATCACCTACAGTGTTTTCTGCAATTTAGAGATTGCCACCCGATTTGCTGGCAGCGCCAGAACAAACCAGAGTACATTGAAAGCACAGGATATTGGCGGAAAAGTCGGTTGTCACATGAGCAGCGTAGCGGCTTAGCGCAAAAGTCCTGGATCGCGAAACCACTTTTCCGACTTTTGTCACAGTTCCCCAAACTCAGGTAAGCTCCTCGCACACAGAAAGGCTGGCGATGATGGAGGGCTTTGGCGGTTTGCTTCGGGTGTTTGCTTGTATTAGCGTTCCAGTCAGAGCTTTGTCGTTGCACAGTGCTTCTGAGCGCGGCAAGTTCCAAGCCAAGGGTTAGATCCCGAAACCCTTATATAACTCTTAAACCCTAAACCCCCAAACCCTCAACCTTCAACCCTGGAAACCCTGAACCCGAAACCCCTAAACCCTAAATCGGTTTGATGCAGCCGCCACGAACTCTCGAGCCTGAACGCCCCTGAAACGACGATGGATCTTTCAAGTTCAAACGGAAATTCGGGCTTAGGGCTTGGGATTTAGACTTTTCCAAGGGGAAAAGGAGGGACCCTTAATGGGGATCCCTTTCCTATCATGGGCATATAATAGCTATATGAAGGGTATATACCTACGGGTCCTTATTAAGGGTCCCTCCTTTTACCCCTGGAAATTTAGGGCTTGGGATTTAAGGTTTAGGGTTGTCGGATCACCCTCCTTTTACCCCTGGAAATTTAGGGCTTGGGATTTAAGGTTTAGGGTTATCGGATCAGTTCCAGGCAGGGCTCTGGGCGCTTGGTCCGGGACCCGTCAGCCATTTCAACCCCATCCTGCAAACCGAAGCTCCGAAATGGTTTTAGTTCGATAATATATTAAAAAAAATTATTACAAAAAATAAGACTAATTATAGTAAGAATAATCAGAAGAAGAAGATGGACGGGGGTTTATCTCTACCGCCACTTTTGGGAGATCTAGCTCCTGCTCCTGCTGAAGATGTTCATTGCTAGCAGGGTGTTTGGTTGGGAAGGAATTTTCGTCATACCCTTAGACCGTAAACCTGAAACCGTAGACCCCCACAACCCGAAACCCTGAACCCCAAGACCCTAAGCCCCTGAACCCCAAACCCCAAACCCCCCGAACCCCCAAACTCCTAAGCCCCCTAAACCCTAAACCCCTAAACCCCCAAACCCTCGTGAGGCGGTCCCTGGGGACGAAGTGCCCAAGGAGCTTGCGACCGTGGCTCTCAAGACTCAGGCTGAGGCCAAGTCGGGCAGGGAATTGGATTTAGGAGTTTAGGGTTTCTGCGTTTAGGAGTTTAGGGTGCATGGGTTTAGGAGTTTAGACTTAGGGTTTAAGACTTTTGCGTTTAGTTTCCGAGGGAATCGGTCTTAATAAGGGCTTGGGCTTAGAGCTTTGAGGGCTTTGCGTTTGAGGTTGTTTCTTATGGCTGAGGAGTAGGGTTTAGGTTCAAAGATTTCAGGAGTTCAGGTGCGTAATGTTCGTATGATTCAAATCCAAAGTCGTAGGCTTGGTTTATACAGCACAAAAGGTACTCTTACACAAAGGGGATGCGGGGGAACCAGATAATGTAGGAACCTGCCCTGGTCCTATAACCCCCAAAAAGGACCCCCTAATAAAGACCCAAGGTTTCTTAATCAGGTTCCTACATTACTCTTACACAAAGGGGATGCAGGGGAACCCTAAACCCCTAAACCCTAAACCCCTAAACCCCTAAACCCAAAACCCCAAACCCCTAAACCCTAAACCCCTCAACCCTAAACCCTTAAACCCCTAAACCCTAAACCTAACCAGGCAACAGCCGGGGGTTTCTAGAGCAGCGCCAGCCTACCCAGTCTCAGGCGCCTGAGCTCTTCCAAGGGGGCGAGCGATCTGGCAAGGGAAAAGGCCTGCATGATGAATTGTGGGGTGTCGCTCCAGGAATCTGATGTTTGGGCCTTAATAATTACCTACATTATTCTGGGGCTTCCTTATTATATTTGTAGTATCATGGGCCCCAAAACCCTATTCTAATTTCTGAGGCCCCTATATTAGGACTAGGGCTTCGGGGGTTTGTGCTGTGGAGTGTTTGGGTTGGGTTTTTTCCGTGTCTTGGTAGCGCCAAGATCCCCCCTCACGCCCCGCATCCCGATGAACGGTCTACGACGTGTGAAACCTGTTTGTTCAGGGGCCTCTAGCATGACAAATACGACCATCAGTAGTATCCTCGTCATCGTCGGCTGATCATCGTCATCGTCATGATCACCGCCCCTCCTCATCATGGAGATGGTCATCACTCCCATCACCGTCGCCAGCAGCTCAGTGGCGTCTCTCATTCAAGACATTTGCATCGTGCGGGCTCTCCTTCGAAGTTCACTTCTATACTTATACCCCGACCCCCCCTCAGTCTTCGGGGAAGCATCCGACACCTCTCGTATCCGCTAGCCAGCCAGTTCCTGGCTTCCTCCCCTCCCCCCCTCCCCCCCTCTTGCTTTTTCTCTCTCTCTCTCTCTCTCTCTCTCTCTCTCTCCCGCTCTCCCTTCGCAACTAAGTTGTTCTTAGGGACGGGGGTTGATCCTGAGACCACCGGTCGCCAGGCGGAGGAAAGAAAGGCCGCGAGCCTCGAGAGGAGAAAGGGTTTTGGGGTTTAGGGGTCTAGGGTTTAGGGTTTAGGAAGTTTAGGGTTTGGGTGCTACATGAAGGGTTTAAGGGTTTTTTGGGCTTGGGCACAGGGTCCAACACTGGTTTATGGACCGGAAATCACATTGTGGCCTATGCCTCTAACCTCAGTTGAGTTGAGCCCTTGTAAACCCCAAAACTTGTCAAAGCTCCTGCAAAACCGTGTTTGTGCATGACCCCAAAGTTTTAAACACCCGTTCAAACAGTGGTGCAAGCCCGTCTAAACATCCGAAGCACCGTTGACACGCTTGCCCCATATATACACATATAAATGTGTACATATATACACACACATACATACATACATACATACATACATACATACATACATACATACATATATATATATACACACATACACACATAAATGTGTGTGTATGTATGTATGCATAATACACACGCAGACACATATTCCCCTTGGACACTTCCCTTCCAGCTCACAGGACCGACCAGAAAAGGGTGGCAAAGACCGCGACAGGCGCACACGCTCAGAGGGGCAATATAGGGGTCTAAATAATTACCAATATCATTTTGGGGGTGCCTCATAATGATTATAGTACAATGTGCCCCATAACCCTGTTCTAATAATTATTAAGGCGCCTATGGTAGTGATTAGAGCCAGGTTACTTGAAAGAGGCCTTCGAGGTTGCTTCAAGGGCTCCTTCAAGCTCCTTACGGGGGTGCCCCTTGAGAGTTAACTGAAGCAGTCCTATATCGGTTCCTTCATGGTTCCTGTGCAGGTTCATTGAAAAGGCATCTAGACGGGTGCCGTTTTAAGACCCCGAAACCCTAAACCTTAAACCCCAAACCCAAACCCCAAACCAATCTACAGTAATCCTTGTTGAAGACCCCTAGACCCTAAACCCAAACCCCAAACCAATCTACAGTAATCCTTGTTGAAGACCCCTAGACCCTAAACCCAAACACCAAACCAACCTACAGTAATCCTTTTGGAATCCTCATTGCCCGGTGCTGGCGTTGATTTTCTGCAAAGGCGCCCTGCCCGGGACTCTGAGAAGACCGAGAAGCCAAAGAGGCGCTGGTTGTTGCGACTCCCGAGTTTAAAAAAGGGGCCCAAATAAGTAACCATACCATTTTGGGGGCTCCTTATTATGATTGGAGTACAATGGGCCTCAAAACTCTAGTCTAATTATTAAGGCCCCTATATCCAAGCTTCGAGGTCTGATTCGGAGGGTTGCTTACAGGCTTTGAGACTTGGGTCTGCAGGAGTAGGAGTGTAGATCGCATAGGGTTCGCGATCAGAGCTTGTGGGGTTTCGGGCTTGATTGGCAGTGGTGGCCTGTGGGCATGTCAGAAAGCCAGGCACGTTCCCGATCGTGAGACAGACCATGTGGATGTGCCGTGAAAAGCATAGACGGATGGATCGATGGCTGGCTGGACGGATGAAGGGGTAAAGGGAAAGCTAGATAGATGAATGGTCGATAGGTACCGATGATAATTAGATAGATCGATTGACCGAACCGGTTCATAGATCGGTAGATCTATAATTCATCGACAGATAGACGGATCGATAGGTCGACAGACCGATCGATCGGTAGATAGACAGATAGATAGATAGATAGGCAGGTACGTAGGTACCTACAAATAAACAAACCAACAGACATGCATACATACGTGTACACATGCAGCACATGCATAGGTGCGCACTGTAAATAAACACAGTTTTTTCCTTCCCCAGCCCATACGCTACGCTTGCAAGATTCACCCCGTTTTCGATTGGTTCGTTCTATCATGACGAGACTACAAACTCGAGTCATACTTGCACCGCCATAGGTTCCCTGGATCTGTCGCACCAGCATATCTCAGAGCTTCCAGATGTTGCTCGTTCATAATATTGGGAGGCATTAATACTTGCCTATATTATTTTGGGGGTTCCATACTATGACTACAGTATACTGGGCCACAAAACCCTATTCTGATGCTTCGCCTGTCTGTAGTGTAGCATCCTGTCAGCCAGATTTCATGTGGGGAGTGTGTTGAAAGGGCATTTGGAGGTTTTCAGGTGCTAGTTAAGCTAAGGGCACCTTCGTTTGGGGATCAGGATTCCGGGTTGCCTGTTCCAGGAAAGAAAAAGATGCAGAGAACGGATCCGTGCCGGTGGAGACGATCCCACCTGTGCAGCTGGCAGAGGCCACTTTTGGCGAGGGTCTTCGGGTTTACTGTTGTGGTTTCAGCGCTTTAGTTTTGAGCTTCCGGAGCTCTCATTAATTATGCATTTCGTTGGGCCTTGGAGTTTGGGGTTGCGTGTTTAAAGGCTTGGGAGACTTCACACATGCTCACGAACAAGAAACTCCGGTACCACGGCGCGAGGGATCTATGGTTGCAGGGTCTGTGGGGGCTTGGGCTATTGTGTTTGTGCATCGGCCCACTACAAACCCCCCGGAGCGCCTCGAACAATGCATTCAGGGTTTAAAGTTTAAAGGTTACTAGTTTCATCCACGCATGGGCTGCGCAATCACAGCATTTAAGAAATGTTCCGAGAATCATGACGGGGCTCACGACAATCAATGATCCTGGCTTCAGGATGTATTTTGGGGTTCGCATGGACTGTGAATGTTGTATTAATACCCAAGCCCTATGGACCATGGGACGGCTTGAACATACTGCCTTGAGCGCAGGGCCCTTTTAACGGAACCCTTCTTGAAGCTGGCAAGGCCCCCTAATCTATAGTAACCTTTTGGATCCCTTATAGTAGCCCCTATAGACCTCTTTAAAGGAACCCTATTCTAACTATGAAGCCCCCTATAGTGGACTGCACACCAACAGCAACGGAAGGTGCCCACAGAGCTCCCTCCGTCAGCACAAGGGGCCCTGGATCTCAAGGAATCGGAGGAGCAAATTTCGCAGGGTTTCTGGGGTCAGGTCTGAGAGTTGGGAAGTTTAGGATTTAGGCTTTACTACGGTTGATGATATAAATTATACATCCTGCATGACCCATAATAAGGAATACTCATCTATTCCATAGTATGGGTAATGCAGGATTTATATCATCAACCGTAAGGGTTCGGGTTTAGTATTCAAACAACGATTCGGGTGTTGCAAATAGCAGCCCCTTATTATGGTCCTGTTATGGAAGGCTAACGTATATAAGTGTATACCCCACCCCTCTTGTAGTCAATAAGGCCCCTATAGAACGGTGCTTGACTCTTCGCCGGATAGTCTAAGAGTTTAGGGTTTGGGGCTTGCGCTTCCTTTTGAAACGGATCTTCGAACATCTGCGGGGTTCGGGTTCACGGTTCTGACTTTCTTGATTGGATTCTGGGAGAAGTAAATGGTTTTGCGGGATAGCTGGCAGGGATTGTATTAGGGCCTAGGTGATTGTAGGCTCCTCAACACTTATGGTGAGTGAGTGGGTGTGTGTACTTAGGTTTCATTTTGGTGATAATGGAGACAACAGTCCCTGCATGCTATTCTACTGCATCTGCTGGGCGGTCAGGAGAACTGCATAAACACCGAATTCCTGGTGCCCAGGAAAGGCTCCAATAGCTTCTATCATGGTATCTTGCTTTGGAAAGGCTTGAACAGCTTCTGCTATGGTATCCGTGCTTCGAATGCTTGGCACCTAACGTTGATCACTGAATGCAAACCCAGCCCTGCACCCTGGTCCTAAGCCACAGAGCTTGCCGGCTTGGACACCTCTTAAGCAGCTGAAAACTTACAATATAAGCTTCTCAGTAGCCCTTTTAAGCCACAAAGGCACAATATGTAGCAGCCCTAGCTGCAGACGAAGTTGTCGTGCAACAGAGCAGACAGAGAACGTTGTAGCAGTGACAGTAGTGCAGTAGTACAAGAGTGCGTGACTGGCCACATCAAAGCAAACAGTGTTACGGACATGTTTAAAAGGTAGACGCACGTAGAAATGCCAGTTATGATCCCAGTTAGTACAAGTGGGACGAAGATCAATACTATAATCATACGCATAATAATACTCTGTCTAGTTATTGTCGCTGCTAAGCATCAAAGCAGATAAAGGCGGGAGTAATCTCAAAGCGCCTGGAGAAGATGAACCCTACTCGGAGGTTCATGGGTGGTTCTAAGTGGGGTTATAAGTAAGGTAACAATAATTATAACCCATACTAGGGGACTTATATCTCCACTTAGAACTACCCATGAACCTCCAAGTAAACCCCAAACCCGAAACCCTAAACCCCTAAACCCTAACCCTCAAACTCTTCAAGGAGAAGATGAACTTGGAATCTTTCCTCAACTATGTGGCCTTCAACAAGAAGACCCAGGCCTTCAAATCCTAGGGTGAAGGATGTTAGGGGCTTTGGGGTTTTGGGAGTAAGGGTTTGGGGGTTGAGGGTTTAGGGTTTGGTAAGGGTTTTGGGTTTATGGGTTTAGGGGTTTAGGGGTTTGGGGTCTATGGTTTAGTTGGGATTTTGGGTTTGGGGTTAAGTGAGGGTTTGGGGTTTTATGGGGACGCTTGGCTTCAGGTTTCAAGCAGTTGGGTTTAGGGATGGGGAGTGCTTCAAGCACCGGTTCACCGCTTGGGTGTAGTTAGCAATAGGAAAACTCAGCCAAGCCCTACACCAAATTATGAAGCCTCCTAAAACGAAGCCTCTAACATCTGCAGCATCTGCAAAACTTCGAAAAAGTTAAAAACCCCTGGAATAAACAAACTTCAAAAGACGACCAGGCTCCAACTTCCCAAGTGCTGGACCTCAGCGGAGCCAGTGCAGAGAGAGCGAACGCCGAGGTGGGCACCGAAATGTTTGTGATTTTGGAGCACTTTGGGGGCAATTGAGGATCTAGGGTCCTTAGGATTCAGGGTTTGGACAATGGTGCCTTTAGGGTTTACGGTTTAGGGTGAACAGCCTGCAATTTGGGGAGGACAATGGTGCTTTTAAGGTTTTGGGTTTAGGGTGAAAAGGCTGCATTTTTGGGTTTGGGGCTTGGGGCTTCGGACATGGGGTTTGGAGTTTCGGACCCGGAGTTCAGGTTCGGAGAGTCGGGAGAGAGCTTTGCGATTGCATTTTTGGGGGTCTGGTGCTGTGGGGGTTTCGGGTTTTGGGTTCAGAACTTAAGGCCCAAACCCCTAAACCCTTAACCCTAAATCCGTAAGCCCTATACCGAAACCCACACCATCCTTGGGTTCCCATTATAAGCACAGTATAAGATGCCCCAAAACCATGTGGTAATCTTCGAAGCTCCTACGCCGTATTCCAATGGTTACGGCCTCTGTTTTAGTTTTGCTAGATCTTTGGTCCACAGCCAGAGCATCGAGTTCTGAAACACAACGCCTTCCCTCTTGGAGAATGGCCCGTCTGCTTCTTTACTAGGTCTCTCAGTCCGTCCCGTTTCCGTGGTCTGAGGTTCCTTGCAAAACTACCCACTACCCAAAAGTTTACCACCACATGTTCGTAGCAGCATGCTGGCACTTCAGTTTTGCAGCTGCAGACTATGTACTGCTTCGCTACCTCTTGCCAATATTCTGAGCATCATACCTGTAAGCCCTACCAACCCTAAACCCGAAAACCCTAAACCCTAAACCCTTACCCTAAGCTTTAGGCCCTAAACTAATCTCGAACCTCTGCAGGCTCAGATGGTTCTGCGCGGATCCATGGGTTTCAAGCGCGTCGATGTGGCCAAGGCCAGGGACAAGGGGAATTTGTTAATCAAAGGGGAAAAGGAGGGACCCTTGTTGGGGACCCGTACCCTACAATGGGCTATATAATGGGTATATAATGGCTATAATTAAGGGTATATACCTAGGGGTCCTTGTTAAGGGTCCCTCCTTTTACGCTTGGAGTTAAGGTTCCCTTAAAGGGTACCTTTAATCTAAGGCTACCTTTAAGGGTACCTATAAGAGCACTTTGATGGGCTCTCTCAAAGGATTCCCTTAAAGGGTTCCTTCAAGGGTTCCTATAATGAGGGTTCCTTTGGGAGGACCTGCCGAAGCACCACAAAGCCCTCGATTCCTGAAGTCTGGTAGGTGGCACTCTAAGGAATTCTAAGGAGAGCCTTCACAAACTGTGCAGGCACAGACAACCTAGCCTCGCGTCATGACCCTGGTGAGTGTCTGTAGGGCTATCTTATCATCTTGGTGAGTGTATACATCGGGCTGTATTAGGTATGGAGAAGAACGAATACGACACTGCATCAGATGGACCCCCCTGACCCTGTCCAAGCACTGTAGGGCAGCATTCATGCTGCGAGCTCGTTGTGCAGGACCTCTTCGCACAGCTGGATGCAGCAAGTGTCGAGGTCTTTGCGACAACATTCACCCTCATGATTGAGGCGGGAGCGCCACATGCATAGTTTACAGGCGAATTCAAGAGAAACGCTGCAGCGGTCGTTCTTGCTGCTGTTGCTGCTCTTAGCTCTAGTTCATTCTATGACATTGCCCCGTACATGTATTTGGACCCGTAGCAAAGTCACGAGATTTTCAACTGTGAACTCCCAAGTCTTACTCAAAGCATCATGAACCCGAAACCCTGAACCCTAAACCCTAAACCCCAACCGTCCAGTGACACACAGAGGACTCTGTAAGGTCCTTTACAGTAGAAGTCCAGACCCCTTCTGTTGGGCAGTGGGTAGATGCATGCAGCCGATTCTTAGGGACCCAACAGGGACAGAAGCATAAGCATTTTACAGGTATATCCCTACCTTATTGGGGTTCATTGTAGGGACTTTATATGGTATCACCTTAAACCCTAAACCCTATTAAACCCGAAACCCTATACCCTATAGACCCGGAACCCTATACACTACACCCTAAACCTTAAACCCTAAACCTTCTAGACCCTATAAACCCGAAACCCTATACCCTATAAACCCTAAACCCCTACCCTACACCCTAAACCCTAAACCTCAAGCCCTAAACCTTCTAAACCCTCAGCCCTAGATTCTTGAGGCCTGCGTAGTTGCTCGAGATCTGAAGTCGGCGAGCGACTTCCTGATGAAGTCTGACACACAGAGCTTTGGGATCTGCCTTCCGGGATCGGGAAATGGTATTAGGGCTACTATTAAGGTCCTAATATATCTATATATTCTATATTATGAATATTAATCGTCAACTATTACTGAGTGGGGGCCGCACCCAAGACTGAGTAGGTAAGGTTATAGGTACCCCGATTGGCGTTAAAAGTACTTTTGAGTATAGTTGCCTTGCTGATGTCCTCTGGGATGAAGCTTTCGGGATCGGGGAAGCATCAGGAACCTAAACCCGAAGCCCTAGACTCCGAACTAAGACCCTGAAGACTAAAAGTCTAGGACCTGGAGTAGGCCCTTATTCCCTTTTTTGAGGGTTCGGGTTCCCTTATAAGCCCCTTTGAACCAAAAAGGGCACCCTTTTTATTCCTAGATTACTCTTGGGTCTAGAAGTCTTCTAGCGTTATAGCGACCTGCCAAAGATAATCATGGCAAGTACAGGGGACCCACCAAAAGCAGAAGCCGTTCCAGCCCCAGCCCCCACCAACAAATTTCAAAAGGAAAGCCTGACAACCTTCAGCTGACCCGGTGGGGCTTAGTCCCCAGTCCCATCCCAAGTCCCAGTCCCAGTCCTAACCCAAGTCGAAAACAGGTTGCAGTCGCAAAACGGCCAAGCCGTTTTCGGTGCCCAGTGGCCCATGTTAGCAGTCGTACAGCAACCCCTGTTGAACCCGAAGAGTACGCCAAAGTCCGAGAGTTCAATCCTGGCACCCTAGCCCTAGAACCCAACGGCTGGAATCTGCCAAAATCCCGGCGGAAAAAGACACAAGCCCTTTTCCCCTCCCGGTCCGAAAGAGAGAACAGTGAGTTTCAGCCTGGTAACCACACTTTATAAACTCCTTTCAACCCTTCTCTCTAAACCTTATAACCCCCCTGAATCCCTACACCCTCAACCCCCAGGATGGAAGCCTCTGGCCACAGCCCAAATAGCGAGTTGCTGGACAAGGCATTGGCATCAACGTAAGAGACTGAAGAATTATTCCGCATTTCCTGAGTGTCGAAGTTTCTGGGTTTCTTGGTGTAGGGTTTAGTGTTTAATGCAGCTTACGGCTAAATGTGAGCTTAAGGCAGCATAAAGGCTAGGATGTTGGTTGAAAACTGTACCTAACGCATGTGTGTGTGCCGCACGTATGTATGTCTGTATGCGCGTGCGTGACTTTCGTAGTTTCCGTACTTCCATACGTTCGATCATGTGTATATAATCTACTGATATTTCAGTAACTTAACTAACTACTACTCTGTTTGGGGCGTTCAGGGCATTCCTGTGGGCGACATGCACCAGGCAGGGGCCCTCCCAGGATCCGATGGCTGTTGAAAATAGGGACCATTCGCAGAAAAGATGGTGAATCCAGACCTTAGGCCTGGTGTAGGGTTTAGGGTTTAGGGGTTTAGGGTTTAGGGGTTTAGGGGTTTTGGGTTTAGGGTTTGAAGGGGAATCACAGTAGTCTCGTAGTAACAACAGCAAGAATGATCACGATATTCACGAGAGTACTAACCGTAGTACAAAGAATTATCATGCCGCTGGTTTTCGTAGTTCCGTATAACCTCTATCTGCTTGTATGCTAAAAGATACCACAACAAGTTAGAACATACCCCAAGACCCCGTTCCTGCTGTTGAGGCCTCTATCTCGACCCCCTCAACCAAACCCGTTTGGGATCATCACTGGGCCTTCATCGAAAATCTTGGACCCCAAACCCAAACTGGAGTCGGAATCGTTAGCAATAGCACCCCCTGCAGTCCCTATATAGTAGCTAGTGTATGTATTATCTCTGAACCCTAGGCCCTAGACCTTAAAACCAAAACCCTAAATCCTTTCTCCATTCTAAATATCAATCCCCATACAGATATAGGGAACACCCCTGAATCTCAAATCCGCAGGTTCTTGACCTCTACTCGAACCAGAAATCGCAGAAAGACGTGAGCAAACTGAAGGAGCCTCAGAATGTGGGGAGCCTCAGTCAGGGAGCCTCAGTCACCAGCACGCAGTTGCATGATTTCCTCCATAGAATAAGTAGGGTTTGGGGGGAACATAGGATATGAGACTTACGGCTGAGGGTTCGGAGTTCACGTGGGAGTTTCCGAAGATTAGGGGTACCTTATATTTTGGGGTCCTTACAGTAGGGATCCTACTATGTAGAGTCTTATATTAGGGTCCCCTATTTTCGGAAACTCCCTTACTCTGTTCGATATCGATTCGTCTAGTTGCTGGGGGGATTTTGGGGCGTAGAATGGAGCGGCTCTGAGGTTTTGGAGCGCGTTGTACGCAACTCCCCTGGCATCTTCGTCTAGTGTTTACCTAAACCCCCAAAAGTAGGCAAAGCAAATGGCCCAGTACCTATAAAAGGCTACTATTCTACATACTTTCGGGGTTTAGGTAGGGAATAGGCTAGGATTTTGGGGGCTGACGGTTCAGGGCTTGGCGGCATGGCCTTCGGGGTGAGCTTCAGTTCAATCCAGAGCTTCGCCCTGAACACCCCTACGTGTTAAACCCTAGCCCTAGGGTTTAGGGTTTAGGGTTTACGGTTGATGAGATAAATCCTGCATTACCCTTAGTAAGGAACATGAGGGAATTATGGTATATTTCGGATTATGGGCCATGCAGGATTTATATCATCAACAGTAGCACTTAACCTGAATCCGTGGGCCTAGGCGTCTTTCTATTCGAAGAGTGGAAGTAATCCAGCTTGTGCCTGGTGCAGGAGGGCGTCGTCGATGGTGAATTCGACATGGAGGCTCTTTCCTACTTGTACGATTGTTTGTGTGGTTTCCGGCTGCTGAAGAAGGGGTTGTAGATAGGGTTTGGTGGTGGCCAGTAGCTTATCCCTAAACCGGCCTAAACCGTAAATGCAGACTATCCTATTGCAGCGCGAAGCAGAGCATGGCAGAGCCAAGTTTCAAACTCCCACTCCCCTCCTCATCGATAGACTCTCGGTGTTGCCTTTGCCAGTTATGCTCGCCAGTGCGCTAACTTGGCTAACTTGTAAGCTTTCGAGGCCCAGCGAGACCTCATTGAGCATCATTGAACAATGTCTGTGCCTGTTTGTAGGCAGAAGACTAGTGACTAATACCAGCTTACTGACCACGACAACAAAGCAAGTTAGAAGGCGGAGAGCACTGTGTCAGCAGTATGGTGGCTGCACCCGATCGCTGCAGGCCATGTCCCTGACGCGGCAGAAGCTCAAATCGGTACCTTACCTAGTCCTGCATCAGCACATGACATGTCTTAGTCTTGCGCCTGTGTTCTAGAAGAGAGAAGAACTACATACATAAGCTCTCAGGATGCGCCCATCTTCGTGCCTAGCTTCGGCATCCCGCCACCTCCACCGAAGCCGAAACCAGTGGAGGAAGATGACGAAGAAGGCATGCTGGAAATCGAGAGATACGACTCCCAAGGGTTTAGGGTTTAGGGTTTACTACTCCCAAATCAACTGGTTTATATTCTGTTTGTAGTCGCGTCCCGAGTTCGCAGCTCAGTGTTGGGCATATCGCCACCTGAATAGCTTGCCAGTGCTGCAATTCGAAAGCGGCCTATGTTGGGACTTTGTTGCAGACCCAGCCAAACTTGCGAAGTCTGAGTATCTACCTCAGGCCCGCTTTGGTTCTTCTACCATTCATGCATGTAGTGCCCTCAAGTATCATCCAACGTAGAAGAAGTAGCATCGAAGCTTGAACGAGTAGTTGAAACTCGCCAGCAATTACAAGCCGCAAGCCTAGCAACAGCAATCTCCGTGCAGTAGTTTTGCTGCGGGCCTCAGTCGGAAGCAACCGGCCACAGGACCGAAGCCAGAACCTTGATGCCTCAGTGTCAAAGAGTCAGCGCATCTCTGTAGTAGTGCCTGTGCCTGTCTCAAGAAATTCTGCTTTATTTCAAGCGAACGTTTGGAACCCTTGCACCCTAACGAAATCCTATAGCCCAGATTATGCCATAGAGCCTAGATCCTAAAACATAAGCCTCTTCTGAGTCCTGTGCTACCTGAAGGAGCGAACGGCGTTAACCTCATAACAACCCACCTGTTCTAAAGTATGACGCCCTGCACACCTAAGCCCAAAACCCAGAACCCCTCAACACTAAACCCCACCCTAAACCCCTAAACCCCTAAACCCTAAACCCTTTAAACCCGCAAACCCACGAAGGTGGCGCGAACGACAGTCCAAGCCAGAGCCGGACCAGACTCACGTCTGCTGCGAAGCCGTTTGAACCGCCCCGCCCTCGGTTTGGTTTAGGGCTTTTGACTGTAGGGTTTTAGGCTTGTCGATTTCGGCTTAAGATAAAGATGTTGGGGTTTAAGAGTTTTGTTTTAGTTTTAGGGTTTCGGGGTGTAAAGGGTTTAGGGTGCAGATGAGGAGCTCCTTCCTTCGGGGTTAGAGGTTGGGGGGCTTTAGTGATTTCGGGCTTGGAGGGTTTTGCCTCTGTTTTCGTAGTTTCGGGCTGTAGAGGCTCGACCTTCGGTTTTGAGTATTCCAGAGCTTACTGTTGAAGGCTTAAGGTTTAGACGGGCTTGGCTTCCCTGAAACGTATGAACCCAGGACTCAGATACCTCCGTACGGATGTAGCAGTAGTAGTCGTCGTCGAGGTCTAATTAATATTTGTACTTTGTACATCTTTACTACTGTTGTGACACTGGTTGCCAGGGTGATGATGAAGATGATGATGATGATGATGATGATTGATTGTCGATGGGTATGAAAGTTACGGTCGTGTCTTTGTAACTTAGTAGCTACCGGCATAATCATCATGATTGTGATTGCTCTTGTTGTTGTTGTTGTCGTCCTGATTGATACGGTTGTTGTTACTGCTGTTATTCTTCGTATGGGAGTTTCCGAAAATGAGGGGTACCTTGTTTTGGAGTCCTGAATAAGGATCCTACTATTTAGGGTACTACATTGGGGTCCCCTATTTTCGGAAACTCCCATATCAAGAAGGGATATACTTGTAGACTTGGAGTTTGCATGAAGGGCTCGAGATGAGAGAGAGCAGTTCTGTACTTTTCGGTTCAATAGGTATGTCGCCCTAACCTTGTTTTAAACTAATTAGGGGCCTTAAAAATTAAATGAGGCTCTGGTGCCCATTATGGGACGATTATGTATGGATATACTGCGAATCATGCATTGAGCTGTGAAGGCTAGGAAAGCGCGAAGCCCGCACTCTCTATAGTTTAGGGATTGGGGTTTAGGGTGTTTGAGGCTCACCATCAAGGACAAACACTACATGCTGAGCCCTAAAACTTAAAACCCTAAAGCCCCCGCCTTGAGTCCCAAACCCTTAAAACCTAAAACCCCGAAGCCTTTGATCCCCCTTGAGGAACCAGTGGACCGAGGGTGCCATGGACTCAGACTTTTGAGCCTTAGGGTTTAGGGTTCTAGCCGGGTTTTGGGGTTAGGTCGGCGTTTAAGTTGGCTTTTCGGCGTCCGTTGATTTTGTTTTTGAGAGTGGGGTTCGGCAGCGCGATGCTGTCGGGTCCTTGATCACGGGGACCCTAGTTTTAAGAGTTGTACGAGACTCTGTTTTATTGCTGAAGCCCACATGTGGATGAAGGAAACTTCGAGAGACCCTCATGCGGTTTGCATGGTTTAGTACAGTTTAGGAATTCTCGGTTTTGATTCAGGCATGGCCTTTTCAGTTGTGTTCCAGTTGAGAGCCCGAACACATCCAACACCCGCGAAAGCCTCTATGAGCCCTAGGCCCAGGGTTTGCAAACCCTGGGCTCCCAACCCCACACCCCTCAGCCCTAAACCCTCTATAAGCCCTAGCTTAACTTAAAAGCCCCAAGTCCTGCGCCCCAAGCCCTCTTTAAGCCCAAAACCCCACACCCTCTAGAAGCCGAAGGCCCTAAACCCTCTTCAAGCCCCAGGGCCCAAAGCCTAAGCCCTAGGCACCGGCTGAAGAGCAGAAAGCTGAAGCTCCCGGGTTGCAGCTGTGTTGTGCTTCTTTGGGGTTTAGGGGGCTATATAGTGATTAGGGCGCCCAGTTTAGGGCTTGGGGTTTGTGGGTTGAGGGTTTAATTAAGGGCTGAGGGTTTAGGGCTTGGGGTTTAGGGTTCAGGGTTTAGGGTTTATAAGGGCTGTGGGTTTAGGGCTCAGGGTTTGGAAGGGCTTTGGGTTTAGGGTTCAGGGTTTAGCATGCAAAAATGTATTGGCAACATCTTTATTGATAGCGGTAATATTAATCACAGGCAAGTAACCAGAATAAAGGCACAGAAAAGCACGTGTAATACTGGATCCGATTATCGATGGTAGCGATATCGGTGTCATACCGAACGCATAATCACCGTCACAAAGTTGGACTTACTATATAGAGTTTGGATTGGAGGGCCTTGAGGGTTTGGAAATTGTTGAGCTTCTGGCCTCTGGCGTTATTTCTCCCATTTCTTCTGTAGAGTAGAGCTTACCTGCATAATGCGGCAGTCTCAGAACATCTGACATCCTAACATAGACCCCAAATGAAGGATCCATTCTCATTACAAGGGTCTTCAGAAATATAGTACGCGGACCCTACGGAACTTACATGTTTAGGTTTATGGCATTTGCGCAATGTACTCTCAGAAGGAACAGGCCTTGCGGCTGAGGCATTGGGATTTAGGGTTGAGGTTGCAGAGCAAGTATTGTTTGCGAAATCCCGTTGGCCTAAAGTTGCCCTTTCGACCCTCAATGCGCCCAGGTGCGAGATAAGAAAGCCTGGTCCAAACATGCGGCCTCCTCAGACATCGAGCGGCTTCCGGCTTGAACCCTAAACCCTAAGCGTGAAGGGCTTCTGTTCTTGGATTGAATGCTGGGCGCCCCTGTAAGGGTTGTGAAGTGATAGCCGCACCCAGCGCCGAAAGCTTGAGACCCTAGCGCATGTGACATCTGAGGCAAATGCTTTACCATCCCTCCACAAACTCACAGTGCGCCATGTAGACCATCAACATGCAGCCAAAATCCCACTGTAGGCAAATGATGCAGAAGATCTCGCCACCCGAAGAAAGCTGCGCTCACTACAGGAAAACCAAACAGGGGAAGGACACCTGAGAACTACTGAAGTACGAAAGGTTCGCCTCAAACGCAAAGCACCCTAAACCCTACTTGTTACAGGCATATAATACTTACGGAAATCATGATGTAACAAAAGAGCCCAAATCAAAATACGAACACAGGCTTTTTGATGGCAAAAATCCTGAACCTGCGCCCTCGAACCCCTGCCCTGGAACCCTGAAACCCCAGAACACCAGAAGCCTACACCCTAGAGCCCTGCAGGGCAAGAAAGGAGCTGAAGAAGGGCGCAAAATGTCGGCGGCCGAGTGGGCATAAATCTACCTATAGTCTCCATTGTAGTTCCTTTTTTTCCCGAAAGCGTCGCGAAGGGTTCTTCCGTGCGGAGCCGGGTAGACAAGTACATAGATGACAAACATAGAATCGAGCACATGACCTTATGACTTGACACTTGATACATAGATGACAAATATAGAATCGAGCACATGACCTTATGACTTGACACTTGAGTCTACGACTCTATGACCCTATGACTCTATGACTCTAAGACTGAACTTGACTACTCTTGACTACTTTATGACTCTATGACTCTATGAACTTGAGGACTCTGTGACTTACTCACTTGACTACTCTATGACTCTGTGACTTACTCTGTGACTTACTCTCTGACTTATGACTTACTCTGTGACTTTCTCTCTGACTTACTCTCTGACTTACTCTCTGACTTATGACTTACTCTGTGACTTACTCTCTGACTTACTCTCTGACTTACTCTCTGGCTTACTCTCTACCTCTACATACTCTCTACATCTCGGTATCTAATCTCTCTTCTAAAGCCAGGGGTGGCACCATTGTCGTCCATCGGGAATGCAACCCTTCACAGGGATTGGCCACCTCGAGCGCCCAAACGCTAGGTAAAGTTACACATTTTAGGCGCCCGGCGCAACCCTTCCCAGGGATTCGCCTCCTCGGGCGTTCAAACGCGAGGTAAAGTTACACATTTTAGGCGCGCCGCGCAACCCTTCACAGGGATTCGCCTCCTCGGGCGTTCAAACGCTAGGTAAAGTTACACATTTTAGGCGCGCGGGTGAACCCTTCACAGGGATTGGAACTCTCGGGCGTTCAAACGCGAGGTAAAGTTACAAATTTTTCGGGCGCCGTGAACCCTTCACAGGGATTCGCCTCCTCGGGCGTTCAAACGCGAGGTAAAGTTACACATTTTGCGGGCGCCGCGCAACCCTTCACAGGGTTTGGGCGCAGCTCAACTGCATTTTGCAACCCTTCACAGGGGTTGGCATTTTGCAACCCTTCACAGGGATTGGCATGGTCGAATGCACGAACGCTAGGTAAAGTTGCATTTTTTGATGTGCATTGAAATGAATTTTGCAACCCTTCACAGGGATTGGCGTGGTCGAGTGTTCGAACGCGAGGTAAAGTTGCAATTTTTTATGTGCATTGAGATGAATTTTGCAACCCTTCACAGGGATTGGCGTGGTCGAGTGTTCGAACGCGAGGCAAAGTTGCAATTTTTGATGTGCATTGAAATGAAATTTGCAACCCTTCACAGGGATTGGCGTGGTCGAGTGTTCGAACGCGAGGTAAAGTTGCAATTTTTGATGTGCATTGAGATGAATTTTGCAACCCTTCACACAGATTGGCGTTGTCGAGTGTTCGAACGCGAGGTAAAGTTATTACTTTTGATGTGCATTGAGGTGAAACTTGCAACCCTTCACAGAGATTGGCGTTGTCGAGTGTTCGAACTAGTACTAGTACTACTACTACCACTACCACTACTACAACTATTATTACTACTACTACTGCTACTACTACCACTACTACAAAAGAATACTACTACTACTACTACTACTACTACTACTACTACTACTACTACTACTACTACTACTACTAGTACTACTACTACTACTACTACTACTACTACTACTACTACTACTACTACTACTACTACTACTACTGCTACTACTACTACTACTACTACTACTACTACTACTACTACTACTACTACTACTAGTACCACAACAACAACTACAACTACAACTACAACTACTACTACTACTGCTGCGACATAAAGTGACCATGCATAGAGTCATAGAGTCACGTTGAAACCACAGTAACAGGGATGTCTATATAGTGAGGTTCCGGAGCTAGGAAAGGAAGACTTCTGCGTCATGTTGGACTATACCCTAAACCCGCTAAACCTGAACATTAGTGTTCATAGAGTGAACTACATCAAGTCAAGTGCGTGGTACATAGATGACTCCATGACTCTATGACTCTTTCTCACTCTGACGCTATGACTCTATAACACTATGACTCTATGATTCTGTCTCACTGTGACTCTATGACTCTATATGACTCTATGACTCTTTGAACTATGACTTGTGCTTGACATGTACTCGACTCTATTTCTCGATGACTCTATGAACTATGACTTGTACGACTCTTGACTGTATGTGACACTCCGACTCTGTGACTCCGTGCTTTTGACTCGGTGACTCTATGACCCTATACACTGGATTCTATGACGTAGCGCAACACTCATCGCTGATGATGCTTTCGGGCCAATTGTCTTCTAGTTGGTTTAACAAATTTGATATTAAGGACCCTCAAAGGTAACACCAAAAAGGAACTACAATGGAGACTATATCTAGACCTGGACAGAAAAAACTGCAGTTGTAGAGCCCTTGGTATACCTTCCTTATAACCAGAGGCTCCATAGTAGTTCCGTTTTGGGATTACCTTATAGGATTCTCAATTTGGACCCCGAAAAAGGAACTACTACGGAGCCTCTAGGTAACTTATGGCTTCATGCGGATCGGCTCTGTCGGATTTAGGGAGCCCTTAAAGAAAAGAGTTCTAGAGGCACCGGTTCTTGACAGGGTTGTTGTCGGATCCTTTGGGGGTTACATAAGAATTTTTAGGGGTTTGAGTGTTTAGTAAACATACCCCCTCATCTTCCATTTCAATGCTGCAGGCTGCGGTGTTGCCACTGTCAGTCTTTTGAAACCAGGCTTTCTTGCTTGGTTGGGGAGTCGCCCTAAACCCAAACCCTAAACCCTAAATCTACATGCTGGAGGTCTCAAAATCCGGGCTGCGGATTTTGGGACAACAAACTTTCAGACTTCCAGAAGGAGCCCTTTGGATGGTTCTTGCTGTGTTGGCAAGGCTCCAGCCAGAGGATCCCCGCATCGGGTAAGTGCAGGACGAAAACCAGACGAGTACCGTCCGAAAGGAGATAGAAAGAGGTTTCGTGCAGCCTACCACCCGAAAGCCCTGATCAATGTAACGACCTGGAAACCATCACAGAACGCTCCCCTAAATCCTTAACCCAAACTGAACCCTAAACCGTAAACCCGAACCACAGAAACCAAAACCGCACAGAAACCCAGGTGGAAGCCAAAAGAGCCGGCTGCCGTGCCAGTGGAAGCTTAGTGAGTTTACTTTGACCCTAAGCACTACCTGAGGCTGCCAGAGCTAGGATTCTTAGGGGTACTTAGAAATAGGTTTTAATTTTTGGCTATTATAATCCCTAAGAAACAGCTAAAATTACAATTTTTGCTAGGGTTCTAAGTTCCGTATAAGATTGATTTAGGAAGAGCTGAAGATGCCAGCACCCAGCTCTTGTAGGCTTCAAACCCCTCTTCAGCATCTTGATTTGCTGTTTAGTCAGACGTTGCAAAAGCGAAAGTTTGCGGTAGCCGCCGGTAGACCGGTGGGAGTTTCCGAAAATAGGAGACCCTAATATAGTACCCTAAATAGTAGGATCCTTATTATTACAAGGACCCCAAAACAAGGTAGACCTGCGAAAGAGGGAACGAAGCCGAAGAACTGCAGGAGTTCAGCTTCAGGGGCTTTAGGTATAGGCCCCAAAGTAGTTCCTTTTGGGGGTTCATATTTAGAACTCTATGAGGTAATCCCAAAAAGGAACTACTATGGGTAGGTATTCAGTGGTACACTTTTTCACTTTCAGGTCTCTGGGTTCCTATTATAAAGTAAGAAGCCTAAAAAAGTCTATATGTTTTCCCAGCGGGGTACTGAAAAGCCTAGTTTAGGTACATGATGAGAGTTTCAGAAGCTCAATGTAGTTTGCAGTGGTGGTTCCAAGATTCACCACTCGACGCCCCAGAAGTAAGCTCGTTGGTCGGGGCCTGGTATCATCGCAGCTAGCTGTTAATGTACGGGCATTGACAATTAGCTAGAACAAATCTAGGTTTATCCTGTTGCAACGGCTGTGTTCTGATTCAAAGGGTTCGCAGGCTGGGGGTGTTGGGCTTCGGAGACATGGTTGACAAGTAGGTTGCACTCGTTCATAGAGGCCGGTGCTAACATTCAACACCTACAATCCATGGCACTGTGCGGGCTAGCAGCCAGATGTTTCACGTAGCGCGGCTCGCCATGGAAGAAGCAGAGGCTTTTTGCGAAGGGCGCCCGCTTCGCCATCACCTCTCCCGGAAGCATGTAAGATAGTCGTGAATGTGTGTCTTTTGCCTTTGCAAAAGAAGGTGCATAGAATTACGCGAGGCAAACGGCATGCAAGTGTTGGAGTTTTCGATAGACGGACAGCGATCCCAGCTGATGGTGCGTATTACAAAGGCTCGCAGCTCCGTGATGATCATGCAAGGCCTCAATTAGAGCAGGCATAGTATAACATCAAGATTCATCCGATTATCGCGTATATTGTTGCGATAGAATACAAAATTT